GTTTGGTTTTGATACCAGTGCAGCCATCCTTCTCAACATGCATCATTGAGTTGAACCAAGTTCAGTAATCGCGGTGGCCCATGATGCAGCGGGGTGGGCTTCTTCATATTGCGATATTTCATTTTTGCGGTTACCGCGACAGCCCTACTGGAAGATAGATTTATCGACTTAAATCAGACCAAATAAGTGGTTCTTGCTTGCCTCCTGGATCCCAGATACAAGCACCGACCCCTCGATCAAGAGACACTCAGTCAGGCTAAAAGCTGGCTCCAAGAAGAAATGCAGAGTCAAACATCAGAAGAAATAAACTGGCCACCATAACAGAAGAGGAGAAAGAGCCAAAAAGAAGGCGAGTAGGCACAGAAAGCATTGTTGACTGCCTATTAGAGAACATGCTTGCAGCTTCTACAAGTGAGGAAGAACAGTCAGATGATGCTCTTGAGGAACTGGAAAGGTACATGAGGGAGGCGGTCGACAGAAAAAGAAGCTGCCCATTGGAAATAACAGCAGCCGTTTCAAGAGACTGGCAACACTTGCTCAGAAGCATCTCTGCTGTCCACCTTCATCAGTCCCAAGCGAAAGAGTTTTCAGCACAGTTGGGAACATTGATGATGACAGAAGAAGGTCACTAAAAGGAGAACATGCTGAAAAGTTGTGCTTTCTGCATTACAACTTGCCCCTGTTGGACTGGACTTGTTAGAGAATGGAACTGCTGCCAAGAGTCAAGACTAGGACTTGGTTTGGTTTGATTTTGTTTCTGTCCACGTTATTGTGAAATAACGTTCTACATGAAGAACTCCATAGTTAAAAAACACGCATAACAGCTGTAATTAAAGTGCAAAGTGAGTGCACAAATTATTGTTTTGGAACTTTTTTAAATTTATTCTTATTTGTTAGTGCTATTATTTCCTGTCCAGGGTGAATACGTTCACCAAGTTAAGTTAACTTCCACAGACTCAGAAAACAAAAACTTGAACGTTAGATTTATACTGACTGAGTTTGTGTGTTCTGTTGTTTTTGAGATTGCTAAATAAATCTTATTTGCATTACTTGGAAACCCTAGTGAGTTACTGAGACAGTTCTTTGGTGTGTAACAGAGAAATAAGTTAGCACCAACAAGGCAGAGAATGAAGGGTTTAATCTTAAGAACATTTGTATTTATTTCTTTTTTGTGAGGGAGATTTATCGGCCATTATATCGGCTATCGGCCTTTGTTAAAAGTTTTATATCGGTATCGGTATTGGTCCCAAAAAAAGCATATCGGTCGGGCTTTACTGTGCACAGATTATTAAGGATGCTTGTTTCAGCTGTGAGATTAGACGATAGGATCAATGATCAAATAAGTTGTCCCACACTCCATGGAAACTTTCAGAGAATCCACAAATAGTGGCTTTCAGATGTTTTTGTTACTTCTACCAGGTTTAGAAAAGCAGCAGATGAGACAGCATGTCTGATAATTTAGTTTTTCATCTGATAATATTAGAACATGTCTGTAATGTCTGAGGGGCTTTTATAAACACTGTATAACTAACACTACTGGAGAGGGTATGAATTACACAGAGGCTTCTGGGGAGCCCAGTTGTGTGTGTGTGTGTGTGTGTGTGTGTGGGGGGGGGGGGGGGTCATTTAGCCTTGGCCCCCAAAATGTCTTGAAACGGCCCTGGGTGTGTGACTGAGTGTTGAAGGTGATCTGAATTGTATCAGATGTATAAATATTGCATGTGTGTAACTTATTGTTTTATACAGGTAGAAACGTGTAGTGGAGATAAATCTACCTACATTTTACTTTGTTTTCTTGTTTTTATTGAACTATTTCCTGTCCTGTCTGTCTCTCATCTTCCTGCATCTCCTCTAAACTCTCCAGAAAAACTGCTGCCTGGATTCTTACCTTTTCACCTCATCAGTTACTTCTGAGCAGATCAAAGGGATCTCCTGACCGTAGCGGAGAGCGCGTTTCGATGCTGCGTCAGTGAGGTGGAGTCACCGCAGCACAGGTGATGAGCTCTGCAGTAGCAGAGCGCTTCAGGCACAAATAAGACAGAAAATAGAGAACATGTGCGGACATGAACGATCGTGTGCTAATTATAGTTTTTTGGTTGTGCCACTTTGAGAATGGACCGTGCGCTGGACGCAGCTGCCTGGAGCGCTGCGCTACAACGATCAGCGCTGTGCCGCTCTCTGCTCAGAAGAGTCCATAAATGATGTTATATAGGTAGAAAACGGCTCCCCTGGATGTGTAGGATATCCAGCTCCCCCTTAACTCGATCCCTGCTCCTGGATGAAAAACCGGACATTTTCATCAATACAAGAACCCGCAGTCCGGACGCCCGGACAGAGAGTGAAAAGTGGACATGTCCGGGGAAAACAGGACGGTCACCTAAAGCGTGAGGTTACAGATAGACCTACAGTATTTCGCTCGTGGCCTTGCTGCCCTGGGCCCTTTAGAGTTCGTGGGCCCTGGGCAATTGCCCAGTTGCCCATATGGTTAATCCGGCCTTGCCACCAGGGAAGGCTAATAGCCAAAGATGCACGTTTGGTTTTTTTTTTCAGATTCCTGCATGGAAGAGGTTGTTCCAGCAATGTGTCTGAAACTACAAAGATACAACGGATGGCGTGGATTGCTACTATCAGAAGACCTAGCTTAACGTTCGAGGACACCCCAGGTCACATGTTGCTCTGCTATAGACATTTCCATAAAGGTACGCTTATGTATTGCAGTGAAGTGATTTATCATAGCAAATTTGTAGATACGGGTCACAAACAAGGCCTCTGATGGCCCATTTGTTTCGCTGGAATGCTTTGTTTACATTAGCTTTGCGGGCTGCTATTTGTGTCGTATGCAGGCAAACCGGCCTACAGCATGCTGGAATGCCATCCGGACTGGGCTCCGTCCCTCCACATGGGTCATACCGAGGTGAAAGCGATGACCACCGCCAGATTTGACCGGTTTAGACGGAGAGCCAGATCAAAACAACAGCCTGTTGTTCCACATCCGCCGGAGCCAGTGACCCACCCATCGGTAAACTGGACTTGGGCTTGTTGCAGAGATCTGACGTTACTAAACACTTCATGGGTGTATGCACTCACACTTAGCACCATATAGTTAAAAATATAGGCGTGAGTAAAGTTGGGCAACACGCTAACGTCTTTGCTCCAGTGTTTGTGTTCGTAGGGGTCTAACCCGTTTAATCCTTTGATCTTCTCCTCGTACCTTTCTCTAGATTTTGCGCCGAGCCTGTCCTTGTACGGACCGGGAGCAGTCTCCTTCGTTTTATACATCCTTGTGAATTAAAAGAGGTTAAACTCCTTTGCTAGTTTACACCGCAGAAGGACTGTTTGGAGATGTAAACACTGAGCCCAACAGAGAAAAACTGCCTTCCGGGTTTTTAAATCTCCCTCCATCCTCAATTCCTACAATGCACCGCGCGTAAGTCACGTGGTCTGTCAATCTCAATTATAAACATTTTGTCAATGCTCAGCTCTCACTGGGCCTCGGGATTGGACCTTTCAGAGTGTCAGTAACCAGATTTATTGGACACATTGGAAACAACGTGAGGTACGCGCTCTGGGCTCAGTTGATGCTGCTTATGTTTATATTATATTTGCTGTATTGACACTGTGGATGTCGTATGCTTTGGGCCTGTTAGAGGAGCCTTCATCTGAAGTCAAAGTTATCACGAAGAGTAAAATTAAATGAAATAAAGTTGGGGCTCAGGTTAATTAGTATATGGACCTATAAATCACGTTTAATGCAGTGACACCATGAACGTTGTATGTATACTGTGTGAACATAGCCCTCCCCGAGGAGAAGTGGGCGTGATAGATCAGTAGGAGGATACTGCAGGCCCTGGGAAAGCAGAGTGAGGTAGATGTTTGTTTGTTTGTTGCTGTAGTTACTGTTTTTTTTTTTATTGATTTAAACGCTGATGTTGTTTAAATGTTTAATGAATTGTTTTCATCTGTATTTTGAGGATTTGTTTTCTTTTTATTGTACGGTTAGTTTTAACCATGCACTGGCGCACTCCATCACTTGTCACTGAAAAACTAGGAAAGAAGTTGGATTAAAGAAAAGGAAATGATTGCACCTGTCGAGGCTCTCTCCAGCTCTCCTGGTTTCATGTGACCTGGGACTGCTACAAGCTGCTGTTTTCGCTCAGCACCACGCCTTCACGGTCATTGGTGCCATCGGACAGTTTCTACGAATGCTTGAGAAATGACTGTCCAGGTTTAAATGACCCGGCTTTCAGAGCCAGAGGACTCCAAAGTGCCATTCATCCATTCACACGCTGGTGGTGATGAGCTATGATGTAGCCATGGCAACCCTGGGGTGCACTGACAGAGGTTTAGTGTATTGTAGTTTTGGAGCTAGACCAGTTGATCGTGTTGACATCTATCCTGTCTGATGCACAGACTAAATAAAGCTTGACGAATTCTAAACTAGGTTTTAAGCACTCTACTGCAGACATGTAGGCTCAGTCTGGGGTGACGGACCACCAACGGATGGGAACGGATTTCCGTTTGTTTTCAGCGTTATTATTGCAGCTGATGCTTTAGTTCCAATCCCCTTCTGGACATCGGTGTAAAATATTCGGTGACTAAAACTGACACACATATAGTTTAAACAGGATTTAACATGAAGTCGAAGCCAACAGTAGTTTCACCAGTGGGGTAGCTGCTATGGATCTTTGTTCTCAGATTGCACATCTTCTCTAACCGGCTAAATTATCTGTAATAGTCTCCAAACGGGCTGCTGTTACTTGTGTCTGACAGCAGCTGTTGGAAGAAACAGACATTTGAAACCAGTTGTAATTAAACCATTTTGTTGTTTAAGTTGGTGCTCCGTTTATTTTGACAGGACTGACATCCTCTTGTCATTTTCGCTCTGGGGCTAACTAGCTAGCAAAGCTAGGTAGCCGCAAAGTAACGGTAACATATGCATTTAAATCTATTTACACAACGTTGAAACGCTGCTTTACCACAAACTAAAGAACATTACTCACCAGTCTGGCTGCTGCTCCTCTAACCAGGTTTATTCGCCTATTGTCAACGCATTAAATGTTCCAGGGGCGAAATCTTTGAATCCATAGCCAACAACGGCAACACAAGAAGCAACTGCTTAGCTAGGATCGGAACCTAGTTGTCCTGGTGCTGCACACACCGGAACCTTTCATCGAATGCACAGAGTACTTTTTCCGTTTTCGCCATCTTAGATGGGTCGAGCTTCCGGCAGACACGAACCATAACAGGGGCAGTAACCACCTTGTTTTTGAAAGATGCTTCTCAAGTACCACTTGCTCTAAACTTAATTAGTTCTTTCTCTAAAGCCTCAGGCCTCCATCTTAACCTAAACAAGTGTGAGTTATTATCCATTAAAGAATCCACAGCTGCCGCTGTTTGTGATCTTTAAGTTAAAAATCAGGTAACACATCTTGGCATTATTATATCTAAAGACCCCACCTTAGGATACCCAACTAATCTTTCCTCCAATGTCCAGAAAACTCAAAGAAAATTGAAGAGCAAGTCACCCCCAAATAAACTTTTTTTGCTGATAAACTAAATAAACGAGTGTCTAATCGTGCTGCAGACACGTGTCGTCAATAATTTGGCACTTCAGTGCATCTTAGTTAAAATTTAAATATTCTGCCTAAAACTGGCAGTGTTGTGCCGTTGTCAGGTAAAAACTCTGCACTGTATTTGAATTTAAAACTGCCACTGCTATTGGCTAAGAGGTATGCTATGATGTCATCTAGTACATTATGATGTCACAATGCTGTCGTGAGCCTGTGTGTGTGTATTTGTTAGCAGCTCCGCCCTCTCGGTCTGCCAGGCAACAGCATTTGTTGCATTTTTCAAACATGAAGTGGGAGTGGAGTTAGACTCTGGTAGGGGTTGACTTGCTCTTTGGCTTCAAAGAGATTAGTCATTGAAAGGCAGAATCCTTCTCTCTAAAGCTGAAGGTCTCTCCAGGCTTTCATATACTGCTCAATCTCTGTATGTGGACAATAACACTCTAAAGAATATTGATAGAATGCTATTGGACTTTGTATGGAAAGGGAAAGTTCATTATATTAAAAAATCTGTTTTAATCAATTCAGCAAATCATGGAGGTTTAAATTTTATAGACTTCTCAACTCTCAATAATACTCTGAAAATTTACTGGACCAGAAATTTTTTAGTTAATCCTCTATATGGAGCATCATCCCCTCTTTCATTTTCTCTAAACTAGGTGGTCTAAAATTTATTTTGATTTATTATAATATTCCTAAAATCCCCATGAAGCTGTCAAACTTTCACAAGCAGATGTTGTTGGCATGCCCTTCTAACACAGGTCCGTTGCAACAACGTTGTCGCAACGTATTTTCTGACACCTTGTGATGTTGCAGGAACGTCGTATGTTACGTAGTAGCGGCTTCCAAAGTGAAATTCCGCTATGACGTTGTCAGAACGTCACATCGGACGTTGCTGGAACGTTGTTGCGACATATCCACAACTTTACTGCCATATTGTGACAACATACCAACTAAATGTTTGTGGCATGTTGCAGAGACGTTTTCAGGTGAACTTTTTTTTGTCACCTTTATTCATTCAAGCTGCTCAGACATGTTCATCAGCACAAACCTATGTGAGCACCTGTTGTCATCTAATGTTGTCATTATTATGATGAAGATGAACAAAACAACAGGAGTCTCCTCCTCAGCTCAGATCAACCCATGATGCAGGTATCTGGCTGGAACAGGTGAGCATCACAGTAAACCAGTGGAGCAAACTGAGCTTTAAATATGTTGGTTTTATGCTCTTTTTCTGCTCCAAAACATGAAAGTTAACAGGTGAGATGTTGCATTTTCATTTAAGATAAAATGATATTTTATTTTGTTGTTGGCCCGTGAGAAATGATTTAAAAGATTTATAAAATGCTGATTAAACCACAAGTAATGAATACCACTGATGCGTTTTATTTAAAACTGACTTGCTCGTGTGTAATTTGGTTATTCCACATTCAGTGTTAATGCAGAAATATGTTTGTTTCCTAATTAAAAGGTTCAAAATTGCATATATGTTGATAAAGAAAATGTGCAAATTTGCCGTCACTTTTTCAAAAAATATTAAGTTTGGCCCTCGACTCCGTCCCAGAGTTTCATTTTGGCCCCGTGTGAGTTTGAGTTTGACACCCCTGGTCTAGAGAGTTAAGCTCCGGGCTCTATCTTAGGCAGTCCCATTAGTCCGCCTCAGCCTAAGCTGATTTGGTTTTAATGAGTTTTTATCTGTAGGTGCATGGTGTTTTTAGTAATGATTTTAAACTCATTTTATTGTTCTTTTAATAAATCTGTTTATGTGGAATGGAACTCCGTCTGAAGCTTGATGTAAAACTGAACTAACGTGCCTTTAGGGTCAGCTGGTTTTGGTTCCTGATTATCAGGTGGCGTTGTATTTTTAAATTGACAGGTGGCCCCGCTCGCCACATCTATAGCCGTCATCATGTAGTATGAGCTAAAAAGGCCGTGAGTGTTGGTATTTGGGTTGATTTAGTTTAATTATATATGCAGAAGGTTGGTTTCATGTGACATCACAACATTCTAAAAGAGCCCATAGGTGAACAGTGAGTGACCCCCTTTCCATCGGACTAGACCAGCAGCGCCAGCGTGTTACTGGGCAGCATTCTCACGTATTCTGCTGCTTGTCTCTTCCTATCGGCCGCTTATGGGAGACGCATCGGCCGCAAATGCAGAGCGGCAGCGCCCATGGCAGATCAGAAAATATAATTTTAATGCTCTGCACAGATTATTATCAAAACTTATTATTTTACTGAACGCATGGCGATCAGACACATGTATTCACTGCTGTATGAAGCAGATTTGTGGAAACAGCCCCCTGGTCTTCTCCGCTCCGCTCCTTCACCTGGTTTTTAACAGCTCCTCCGTGGACGTGGTGGAGCGATTTAATGTTCAAACTGCGTGGATTATCATCAGAACTCATTATTCTAGGCCAGCCATTCCCAAACTTATTTAGCCGTGCACCTCCTATGTCCCGACCATGTCGACGCAGCCCCCACATCAGGGCATGGCTATATATATATATACATATATATATATATACATATATGTATATATATATATATATATACACATATATATATATATATATATATACATATATATATATATATATATATATATGTATATATATATATATGTATATTTACACACGAGTCGTTCTCTCTGTTCATCGTGGACTTGTTCGAAGACCTGCTTTCCATCTGCCTCCACTGTGCCAAAGTTTGGCTGTTGAGTTTCTTTTCAAATGGTAAGTTTATAATGTTTTATGAAATCATTCCTAATTGTGGATTATTAGAGACTAATTTGGCTTCTTGACATGTGAAATCCTGAGGAGTTGTTTCAGAAAAGGAACTTGAGCCTTTTCTCCTGCAGCAATGACTTGTGGCGGGCCCTTGTCCAAGTCCGCATCGTTGCAGACTTGGGTGAAGTGCAAATAAAGGGTGCAATAGGGGCGTGGTCGACTTCTGCACTTGAGAATCGGGACACCCTACGCACTCGCACCGCTGGCCGGGCGGGAACTCGCAAAGGGCGCAAGTCCGAGTGTTGGGATTGGGCCTCAGAGGGGGGCAGCTGTCCGAAGTAAGATGGCTACCGCGCACGAATGTTGGGGTAAGGCATCTAGTAATATATATGATATCTATTCATTTATTTTTCAGTTACCCAAATCCCCAATGAGCTCCGACTTCAGAGAATCAGCCAGACATAAACTAGCGATTCCCCTCCAGGACAAGATGGTGGGCCATCCTTTCATGAATATGGTCCAAGAAGGTGCATTCCTTGCGTTTTTGTATTTCAGACCCTTTTTAACACAAATGTGTCCCTCAGTCTCCTCCACCTCTTCATGTGCTCGCTACCTCTAAACCTCACGTTTCAGTCCACCAATAAAATGCTCGCTGCGTATCTTTATACTCCTCCATTCACGGGTGAATAAAACATTCACATTTTCACACAATGCGTTCTTCAATCTGCTCCACGTCTGCTGCTAAATAGCTTTATATTTAGTTAGCTGAGACCAGTCAAAAGCTTTCAACAAAGGTAAAAATCAGGGCATGTCTCCACCACCCTCTGCGAGCCCGTCGGGGCGCCAGGGTGTCTCCGTCCTGATGCAGATGACATATAAATTAGGCCTTAGTAAAAACACTAACACAGCTGCGTCCCACTATAACAGCTGGAATCCTATTTTTGTAAATGTAAACTTTTTTTGTTCTTTATATGGTGAACTCACCATTTATAAAAGAACCTTTTGTAACCAAACTTAAGGAATGTGGCTGTTATTTTTGACCAATCAACGAAGGCCACTCAAACGTTGGTCTGAAACTTTTTATCATTTAAGAAATATCTCCAAACAGTGAAGGTTGGTGTCTAAACATGAACTAGAAATGGTTCTCCATGCCTTTATTTCCTCCCGTCTAGATGACTGTAACACACTCTTCACGTGTTTTAACAAAAAAGCCCTTGACCACCTTCAGTTGGTCCAGAACTCTGCAGCGAGGCTCCTAACTGGAGCAAACAGAACATCACTCCTGTTCTGACGTCTCTGCACTGGTTACCCGTTAACTTTAGAGTTCATTTAGAGTCCTGACTAGAACTTTCAGGGCTCTACATGGTCAAGCTCCTCCCTATATTACTGACCTGTTAAAGCCTTATGCTCCAACCCGAGCCCTCAGGTCCACCCACCAGAACCTTCTAGAAGTTCCAAAGACCAGATATAAACGTCGAGGTGATCGCTCCTTCCAGACTGTTGCGCCCCGACTCTGGAATGATCTTCCTCTGTCCTTACGCAGCGTTGGTAGTCTGGACACTTTTAAAAACAGCTGAAGACCCTTTTATTTTTTTAACTCAAATTTTTAATCTTCCACCTGTTTATGAACTTTTTATGATAAATTTTTTCTGATGTAAATCTTTTTCTGTTTGAGATCATTGTGAAGCTCTTTGTGACGGTCTATGAGAAGTGCTGTAGAAATAACACTTGTGCCTAAAATCAGGGTTTCAAACCTTTAACCTCCTAAGACCCCATGTCCATGTGGACGTTGGCTTCCTATAAAACAAATATTTCTCTTCAACTTGGACCTTATTAATTATTCAGACACTTTATATTCACTTATAGTTTAAAATAGTTTGTTTTCTTTCTATTTTTTAAGGAAATGTGACAACTTTTATTTTTATTTAATGTATTTTATTTTGTTCTCATTAAGAGTCGACCAGTCTGTAATAACTACTAGGGATGAGCGAGTACCAACACAGATTCAGGCCTCGGGAGGGTATATTTACACATCTGCTACTATAGGAAAAGACAAGCCAGACTGAAGGAAAAGCCCAGTTTTTATTCCAAGAGTACAAGCGTCTACTTCAGAGGGATGAAACGGGAAGAGTGTGTGGCTCCGATACCAGGACGTCCGTGTTTGACTGGTTTGTAGGTGATAGAGAACTCCCCCAGGTAGTGACCACACATCTCAGGCTGTGGGGAAGAGAAAACGTTTCATTACTCAACACTCAGACCAAGCTGGTACATTAAACCCCGGACCAAAGCCACCAGTTAAAGGAGAAGCACTGGAGGATGTGGGGATGCCAGCACGAGGTTAACTTTAGGGATGATGAACAGTTTTAAAGGTCAAGCTTATTGTTAGGATTGCAGTTAGGGCTCCTCGATTATGGCAGGAAGGAGAATCACCATTATTTAAGAGCATTTTTAAATTAATGTTTATTCCGTCATAAAACTGCACCGGGCGAGGGTTAGGACTAACACATGAAGGAAGAAGATGGTCACAAAAACACTCCTGACTCCTAGATTCAACAAGCCAATGCTCTGGCTCAAAGTTTGTGACCGACATGATTCTGGTTTGACCCCAAATACCCGACCAACACCCTGCAGATACCGACAGCTACGCAGCGCATTTCTAATGTAAAATAAACACTATTTTAGTGAAGTTCACAAGATGTTGCATGGCTGTTTAGTGGTGCTGTAGGAGAATGAAGTATCAGTGTGAGGAACTTTTTAACTCCTCTCTGAACGACTTATTCACACGTTCATCAGTTCATGTAAAACTTGTTCCCGGGTACAGCTATCGGAGGCGTGCTGCAACCCCAACCCGCTCTCAGGTAGCAGCTCAGAAGCCTGCAGGTACAGTGTCACCTACTCCCATCTAATCCGAGAGGGAGTCAGCGACCGGCACATCACTACAGCATTACCTTTGCTAGCATCTGGAGCGTGGGCGGAGCGTACCTGCAGGAAATGCGGACGAAAGTTGTCCAGACAGTAGCTAAGGGTCAGCAGAAATGATGCCATGTTGTTCACTAGGTACATTTAGGATCTAAAAGTCAAGAAGGAGCTCAGAAGCTGTTAGAAACAGCAGCAAAGTCTCTAAGCTGAGGAGCACTTGATTTGCAACTCAGAGCAGAGCAAAAGGGAGGAGCAAATAATCGTCTTGTTTCTATAACCGTTCAAAACTCAGATCGTAATCGGGGATCCAAATTCAAGAGCAGTCTAAAGAAACTTCAGACTGCAGTGTGAGGTCCCATCAGACTCCCGGGAAAGCAGCAAGACAGCTGATCATCATTCATGACGAGGCTTTTAGACGGTCCATCACAGCCACACAACCACGTAATGAAGGTCTAACCGTCTGTGTGATCATTCTTTATTTTTAATCGAATGCATTTTGCTTTTGGGAGAGCTTAACTGAAGGTTTTTATCTTATTCTGTAGCCATTTATTCTACTTCCTTTCTTCAGTCCACCAAAGGCTGTGATGCTTTCTGAGCCACAGTTAAAGGTGCAACATGTCAGTATTAACAGTATAAAACTTCTTCAGATTTTAAAATAAGTTTGTGCTAAACGACTAGGGCTGCAACAAACGATTATTTGGATAATCGATTAATCGGATGGGGTCTCGACACGATTAATCGATTAATCAGATTACATAGGGACATTTTTAAAAACTGCTAGGGAAACGTTATTTCTCTCCTTCCTTCACTTTATTTAACACAACCTTCTTAGAAAACAGTTCAATAGCAGAAAAACAACATGCCATCACCTAAATTGTCTTATAAGCTGTATAGACAGAGACCCTAAGCTACACCTATCTGTGACCTAAAATGTTTGGTCCAAGTTAAACAGCTTAAAGAGCAAGTCACCCCCTACCAGAGTCTAACTCCACTCCCGCTTCATGTTTGAAAAATGCAACACATGCTGTTGCCTGGCAGACCGAGAGGGCGGAGCCGCTAACAAATACACACACACTCAGGCTCACGACAGCATTGTGACATCATAATGTACCAGTTTACATCATAGCATACCTCTTAGCCAATAGCGGTGGCAGTTTTAAATTAGAATACAGTGCAGAGTTTTTACCTGACGACGGCACAACACTGCCAGTTTTAGGCAGAATATTTAAATTTTAACTAAGATGCACTGAAGTGCCAAATTATTGACGACACGTGTCTGCAGCACGATTAGACACTCGTTTATTTAGTTTATCAGCAAAAAAAGTTTATTTGGGGGTGACTTGCTCTTCAATTTTCTTTGAGTTTTCTGGACAATGGAGGAAAGATTAGTTGGGTATCTTAAGGTGGGGTCTTTAGATATAATAATGCCAAGATGTGTTACCTGATTTTTAACTTGAATATCACAAACAGCGGCAGCTGTGGATTCTTTGATGGATAATAACTCACACTTGTTTAGGTAAAGATGGAGGCCTGAGGCTTTAGAGAAAGAACTAATTAAGTTTAGAGCAAGTGGTACTTGAGAAACCACTGTCTAGCCTGTGTGATAATCCGGGGCTTGGGTGAGTCACTTTTGAAAAGTTTTTAACTTACCCGGACACCGAGCTCTCTCCCTCCTCGCTGATGATTCTGACATGCTTGCGTTTAAGACGCTGCATCATCACCGTAGTACTCCCGTGCCATGCTAAGTCTGACCTACAAACGTTGCAGGTAACGAATGTCTTCGCCTGATTTAACTGAAAATGCTCCCAAACTTTAGAAGTTTTTACTTTTTTGGGTCTCGCTGCTTCTGCCATGTTCCTCTTTCAAACACCTGCCGGCTCTCCGGTCTGCGCGCAACGGCGGGCGGGAGGGGAGGGGGCTTTTGGAAGAGTTGTGCAACACAACGAATCGATGACGAAATTCGTTGCCAATGCTTTTAGTAATCGATTTTCATCGAATTTATCGATTCGTTGTTGCAGCCCTATAAACGACCCTTTGCCACCACTGCTCCCTGTGGCCAGAAAACCGCACTTGCAACTTTAGAGTTGTTGGTTTGGTTCCTGCTAGTGGAGGGAGCTGTGGAGTGGGGTGCAGCTGGACTCTTGCTTCAAGCTAATCTGTTTCATTTAGTGATGCCTCGCTCCTGTAGACACTAATGAAGGCGTAGAGACACTTCAGCTGTTAAAGTGTTAAAGACAAAGCAACAGCGAGGAGGTTTCATTTTTGGTTTGCCCAGTGAAATAACTGCAGACACCAGGGGGCGCTAAAAGCAAGCAAAATAGCAAAGTGTGCCTTGGACCAAAATGAAAGTATTAAAGTCACCTACTTTAAGATTTATCAGCTTGTAAAAGTCCGTAGTTAGCATGACTACAGACCAGAAATCGGCGCGTGGCATTTGTGACGTCACCACATAATCTCCTCCCCCTAGCGTAGCTGCTACTCACCACATGACCAGGTTCATGGTGGTTGTTTCCTCCTGTGGGAAGTTTGCTGAACTTACAGCCCTTTTCCTCAGCTTTCTCCGTGTCTGCTTCGATGACGTCACTTACGTGAAGCGCATTTTTAGTCCTGGACTTATTTTCACACCAAACCTAAAATAGCGTTTTCAGCCCCGTTGACTTGCATTCATTTTTTCATTTTACTGGGGACCCGTAGTCTGGAAGTAGGTGGGCGTGGCTTAGGCGCCCTCTTGTACTCCCATTTTTAAGCACAGTTCAATTCAATTAAAGTTTATTTATAAAGCGTCAAACCTCGACAAGCGTTGTCTCAAGGACCTTCACGCAGTAAACATTCCACTGCAGCACAAACCCCGCGGGTTTTACGGCAGGGTGGTGGCCTGAAGTTTCTTAATGACAAGCAAAGACGCGTCATACACAGTAAGCAGATGGTGTCAGCACCGGGGTGTTTCATGGTAGGGAGCATTTACACTTATTACGGTAATATTTATATAGCATTACAGGAAGGGCTGTTAGCTTACGGTTGTAGTTCTGAGTGACTCGTTGAGGGGTCAGTAGGGTCGGGACAGCGTTTGAGCTCGTACGGGCCAATTCCCTTATCACAAGACTTCTCAGGACCCCTCTCAGAGTGTAAACTAGATCTATTAAACCTAGAATGGTTTCTGAACCAGGCTTAACATGTTTAGTTTTGCTGTCTAACTGGATTTTTAACATGGAGTCAATGAGGATCTGCTCTCTTCTGACACCAGCCGCGACTGGATGAGGGTGGAACTGCAGGTGTAGCCACTGCTTGGCTTAAAAAATGTAGACCATAATTAGCCTGGCCTGCCAGACTCTTCCTGTTTAATTCAGCAGAGAAAGGGTCTGGGGACGCTCCTATTCAATAACCCCGCCCCCTGAGAATTCTAACCGAGCCAATCAGCGCTGAGCAGCGTACGTCACACACCACAACGTTGAGTTAGTCGTAAACATGGCGACTGAAGCGGAGTTCGCTGCGGCTCTTTCCTCTGGTCTAAATGACTTGGACGTCTTTAAAACCACAAGTAGAAGCGCTAAAAGCCGTTCTCCTAAAGAAGTAAGTTGTTTGCGCCGTTGCCAGATGCTAGTTCTTTTAATACAGCTAAAAAACTACAGCGTTGCGCGGTATACTCAGCATTTCAGTCTTTTTTTTTCTGATTGTTTACTTTTGAGCTGGCTAGCCCCGCCCCTCAAGTTCCTCTCTGCCTGTGAGTTACCAGACTCTCTGTGCAGAATTAAAGCTGCTTTCAGAAATGATGTGTGATTTTTCAGAAACCCGTAAAAGTGACTGTCTCATCATGTACTGTGATATAATGTAAGCAATACGTCTTTCTTGGTTTTGCTAAGCGCCTCCTGCCCCGCTGAGCTCCGTGCAATAGGACACTGAGCAGAACTAACCAATAGCGTCAGACCACCGCTTACCTGCATTTAAGGAGTTGATGAACTTTCCACGGAAAAGAAAGTCTAAATCGACTGACTGTGATATGCTTGTCAGCCAGTAGATGGTGCTAACGGACAAGATAAATACCACAGAAAAAGTCTTGCCCAAGGGCACAACAGCAGAATTCTCTGTCCGGAGCCAGGATCGAACCTGCAACCTTCTGATTACTGGACAACCCGCTCTACCTCCGGAGCTTCTGCTGCCTAAAAACGGCGCCATGACTTTTCAGGCAGGGTTTGGCCCAGTGCCGCCAGCCTAAGCATCTCTTAGTAACAGGGTTGGCGGTTTGACTACGAACCACGGATAACCCTGTAGAACATCTCCAACGTGGCCTATGGAAAACTGGTTAGATCACATTTAAATGAGCTTTCAAAACTAAAATTATCCATCAAATAAGATGAACACGTTTGGCCTAGAAGTTGGTCCAGCTGTGGAGAGGCGTGTGTGTGTGTATGTGTGGGTGGGGGGGGGGGGGTTGGCCGTGAGAGCGGGGGTGTTGGGGGTTTGATTTCAAGGGAAACACTGGGTTTGTGCTATTTTAACCCAAAGGTCATTCTGGAAATGTCACGAAGCACGAAGCATAAAGAATCCTGATGGTGGCTCAGGAGTTCATCAGAAGGTTGCAGGTTTGAGCCCCGCTCAGTTTGATGCTGCCATTGTGTCCTTGTGAGGAGGCACAGACAGTTGTTTCCATCGCACTGTACAGCCCAGCTCTGACATGGAAGAGCCTGGGGGAAATCAGGACGTCAGTAACACCAACCAGATATGCACCAACTAGCGAGAAAAGCTATTTTTGATCTTTGTCTGCTGCGGTTTTAGTTCTTTTCGGTGCACCGCTGCTGATACAGCGCCCCTGTAGTGGCGCACCGCTGCAACTGCAGTTAAAGTAACATCCATATAGCTGGGGCAGTGAAATCAGGCTGGGGCGGCACAGCATTAGCTGGAGGCGGCCGCCACGCTAGTTTGAATGCAGGAAAAACCCCTGACATGTTCCATGTTCCAGGGAGTGCCGTCATCATCTGGTGATGAAGCTCCCACTGACCGCTAGGGTAGGCGTTAGCCGTGGTCATTTAACTACGATGACACTGCAGTATTGTTACACCCCTACTGGTTAAGGAGAAGGTCTACTGTTGAAATTAGATTGATTAGAGAAAACAGCAGCCCCAATCAGCTGATTAATGACTTCTTACCTTGATTTCCACCTGGTTGAAAGTCTTGCCGTTGTACACGCCGACCATGGAGCCGACCATCTCAGGCAGAATGACCATGTCTCTCAGGTGAGTCTTCACCACCTCTGGTTTCTCCATAGGAGGAGCCTCCTTCTTTGCTTTGCGCAGGCGTTTGAGGAGGGACTGGTGCTTGCGGCGCAGACCCCGGTTCAGCCTCCTCCTCTGGCGGGCACAGTAGAGCTGCATCAGCTGCTCGCTGCAGAGGAACAGTACAGTCAGCAGGGTAGACTAGTCTCTTGTGTTACGTTACAAACTCTTAAGACACGCCATGCTGGCAAATCAGCGCAATACCGCCGCCACGGTGTCTAATGAGCGCGCCGTGGCGGCATGGCGATGTGGGAATGTGCAGCTTTTGTCCTTGGTAGTGATACTGCATATTCATCTTGGCACAATCGTGATCAGGTGTAGAGTTACTGTTGAGCTTTGGTAGGAAACCGTATTGAAAATGAAAGTTGTGGTTGTGTGAGAAACAAGCAGCTGAAATCTTAAAGCGGAGCGATGCGACTCTCCTGGAGCTTCTCTTCGATGGCTGGAGCTCAGATCACCAGACCGCATGGTGACCAGACACCATTAGGAGCAGTTACAAACCTTATGGAGCGCAGCTTCAATCATAACAGGGCGTGATCGTGACATCATCAGTTGCCCCGTTGGAGGCGTGTAAGTCCTTTACTACTGTAAACAGCGCTCAGGCTCGTTCTTGCAGCTTAAATTCGTCTAATATTCAGTAGACGGGTTATATTACACAACTCTAGTAAATCGTTGCTGTGTGGTGGGGTCACACGCATGATCACCGGGGGAATAAAGGTGGAAAACAAGCTAACTTTTCACCGTTTTCCTGCTTCAGAGGCAAAACCACGGAGACCAAGTATCTAGCTTAACTAAGTCTAGTTGGATTGCTGCTGTAAGGCGACCATCATCATCTTCTGTTAAGTTACAGATGGTGAACTTTTAATACATCTATTTCCTTCAGCCGCCACGCGCACACACACACACACGTGATCTGTGCGTTTCTCATCCTCATCTCCCTCAGACTGCAACCATGACTACCCACCTGCAGGACGTTCTCATCGGTTCACACAACTCTGACCTTGTGTGTACTCGTTCTCCAAGTGCATACCTGAAGTGACCCGGTGTTGACATCAACGGCTCGTATGAGCAGAACTGTTCTTGCTTACTCACTAGGACATGTCCAGAAGCTGGTCCAGGTCCACACCTCTGTAGGTAAACTTCCTGAAGGTGCGCTTCTTCTTGATCTCGGTATCCGCCTGGGAGAGAACAGCATCATTCAGCCACTACGTTGCTGTGCTTGTTAGCATTTCTACTACCACCCTGTTAGATTAGCTTTTAGACGGCAGACGCCTCACACTCCGGTCTCCATCCCGTTTGTGAACAGGCGGCTGGAGCTAAAGCTAAAACTAGCCTCCCGATGGTAGCTTCACCGGTCATTACGACACAATATCCCACTAAATCGTTGCTGTAGATGTCTACCTACAGCACCATGAACTCGTCTGTTACTCTTGATGACATTAAAGCTCAGATGCACAAGGATTATCATTTGATAAGCTTTAGCGTCAGAACAACACCTACCATCTTGCCCGACGATCCGGTGGAAAAGAACGACCGGAAGTCTCGTTACGCCTGATATCGCGAGAAGGACATGAAAGAGTCACGCGGGTTGCGTTATTTGGAATCGTAGGATGCCCAAGGAAGATCCCTCCTTTCTCGTCTCTGATTAGCTAGAAGGACTCTTCCACCACTTTTTTAAAATTAAACTTTATTAACAACAAAGCTTACAGGTTTACTTTCTAACATTTAAGAAAACGGATGTATGTTTAACGTTCATAATGATAGCTGAGTAAAGCATCACAAAGATGCAGGGGTGACAGACAAACCTATCATACCTACTGCCTTGTTGGAGCAACAAAAGAGACACGAGACCCTTCAGAAAAACAATAAAGAAAGGTTTACCACATTTACATTTGTGTGCAAAGAATTTTGCTAAAATGATCAAATTATTTACTGTGAATTGTTTTTCCTTGTCCTCCAAAATAGCTCCAAATTTAACATGATTACAGGACAAATAAATTATACCTAAATATCTGAAGCCCACAGACAAAAACTGTCCCAGAATATTTTTGTATATTTACAAGTTAAAAAAAACACGTTCTTCAGTTTCTATATTGTTAGAACAGAAGGTACAATCATTTTCACCAATATCGAATTTGGAGCCCTGCAACGGACTGGCACTCTGTCTAGGGTGTACCCCTCCTGGGGATAGATGGGTACCAGCAACCCCCCCCCCCCCCCCCCCACAACATGTATACACCCCCCCCCCCCCCACAACATGTATACCAAGTATTGTTTCTATGGTTACATTGTTACATGCCGATTATCACTTGTAAGTCGCTTTGGACAAAAGCGTCTGCTAAATACATAAACATAAATGTTGTGATGTCTTGGTAAATATTCTATTAGGTGAGAGATAAACTTTATTGTATTCATCCTAGTGGATCTATAATTAAACGGGTAAACTAGTAGTAGCACATCCAACGTCAAAGAGAGTAAAAAGTTATTATCAGGAGAGAGAGAATGTATTAGTGGTTAGCAGCAGTGTGCTAGACGATGGCCCCCTCCATGAGGCCACCACAGCTCAGCAGAACATCGTTGTAGCTTCTTCTGGGGAGAAAAACACTTAGAGAGAAAATAAAGTTAACAGCTGATGAAGGTGAGACTGGTCTGACTTCGGAGGACTATAAGGCAACGTTACAACACCGTGCGGGACTCGTTTACAGAATTACGTCATCATGGCCCAAGCTATGGTAACCTTTAAGGCCCAAAAATGCATTGTATAAAAATCACAACTTATAAACATCAAAACTTAACATTATAACTTAAACTACTGCTAACCTAAATAGCTTGCAGAGTCTTTTGTACAGCCGCCCCCAAATGTGCGCAGTACATTTGCTCAAACTAAACTCCTTTACAGAAGATAACCTGGTGTCCCTCAGCTCCTCCTCTCTTCCCTTTTGTGGAATTGTCTGGGCTTGATGGAACCTGTGACACGGTCAAAATGGTGGTGGTGGCCACCTCCCATTTGAACTCAAAAACGAATTGTCTATGGAAACCCATTGTCCAATATTTATATGTCGATGACCAGAACCAGGATCTTGAAATGAACCCTGAAGTTGACTGGCAGCCAGTGAAGCTGGAGGAGAAGCGGGGTGATGTGGGTGTGTTTGGAGGACTTGGTCAGAAGCCGAGCACAGGCGTTCTGAACCACCTGTAGACGGTTCAGGGAGGTTCTGCTCAGACACGTGAAAAGAGAGTTACAGTAGTCTAAGCGTGAGGAGATGAAGGTGTGGAGAACTGTCTCAAGTTCAGAGCGGGACAGAATGGGACTCATGTTGTTGTTGAAACAGATAAGTGTACATAACACCTTCTCATAATCCATATGAACGGGATTAAAAGAGCTGCCACGCCTAACCACAGTCACACAACTACTACAGGTGATGTAACAGACCGCTTGGCTGGTTGTTTATTTTTATACATCTGTGCCAAGTTCAGGAGATAAAATAACTTACAGGTACGTTTTTATTGAAAATACAAAATAAACATGTGTTATATTAATGCCCTGTGTACGCCAGCATGAAGCAAGCCTGTCAGATCTGGTTCCACCTGAACCTCAGGAACATGTTCTTGTCTCTGTGGTTAATATCATTGTTTTCATCATCAGGTTCACCTACACCGTTGTTCCATTTTGAGCTATTCGTACCAAAGATGATGGCTGAAAACATGTAATATAGGATTCACAAACACAATATTATATACATCTTGCACTTATCAATATAACATGTACTACTATTATACTACTGCTTAAGTATATCAGCCAGAAGTGCAGGCAGAAAGAAAGAAGAAGAAAACATCATTTCTACAGCGCCTCTCAAGATAAAAATCATGAGGCGCTTCACAAAAACAAAAACAAGTACAAGTATGATCTAAATATACTTGGACATACTCCTAAGTGTAAGCCTTTTAGCATACTTTTAGCATACTTTTAGTCTACCTTTAGTATAAGCATTTTCATATACTTCTTAGTATAAGCCAAGTATAAGTAATAAACTTTGCTGAGTATATCTTGGAGTAAACTAAGAGTATACTCTGTTATTTTTAGTTTACAATTAGTGTACTTTAAGTACACTTGCATATACTACTTAGCTGCTTGGGGGAGTGTTGTAATGAAAATGAGAACGTAGCGCTGTAATAACCATGCTGTCCTGCAAAATATTATTTTTAGTTTCTTTTATTTAAAAATATAAATATGTAAAACGTGAACTTATAATAAATCTTGTTGCATTTGTCACACTGTTGGACTCATTAAAGGAGAGTACCTAGTGTGACAGTGTGTGCCTACTTGTGTGTGGAATATAATACAACTGCCCTGTTATGCCAGCTTGGCTTCTCTTATAAAATAATGAAAACTCATCATAAATAGGTCTAAATCATCATCAGCTTTTTTTAAATTTAGATTAAATGAAGTTTAATCAGATGCTGGGAGATGCATTCTAACAGCCTTTACCTATGAAAGTGAAGACATGAGATAACCTAATAATAAGATAACCCAGCCAGTCCAGCGTGATCAAATGCAACAAGGTTTGCTCCAAGCTCACGTTTAACGTTTTTCAGGTTCTTTTATAAAAGAAAGTGAAACTGGTTTGTTGCTAAGGAGGACAGAATGGTTATTCTAGCGATGAGTTCACATTTTCTTCCCAAAACTCCCCAACATCTGTCTGTAACTAAAAACCTGCAGCGAGAAACAGCCAATCACAGGAGAGCCCTTCCAGAGGCGAGAAAGGCGGGACCTTCCTTGAACGTCCTACGATTCCAAATGACGCCTGCGGGTTTTATCCTCTGTGAACAGCAGGTGTCGTGTGTGTGTGTGTGTGTGTGTGTGTGTGTGTGTGTGTGTGTGTGTGTGTGTGTGTCTACAGCGTTCCTGAAGCAGATTGCGTTTAAAAATCCCGTCTCCATTTGGAATTGTATTCCTCACTATATCTTCTCTAAACTCGGTGGTCTAACTTTTATCCTGGGTGGTGACTACAATGTAGGAAAGCTTCCAGAAAAACTTTCAGTGTTTCACAAACAAGTTCTAAGCCTGGTCACTGATTTATAAACATCATTGTACTCCCCATACATACTTGATCTGGAATAACAGGAACATAGTGTATAACAATAAGTCATTGTTTTTCTCTAATTGGGATGAGAAACAGATCATTTTTGTGAATCAGTCGTATAATACTGATGGACAGCTTATGTCTTACACAGAACTCCTAAACACATATAAATTTCCAGCAACTCCCAAAGAATACGCCGTACTGTTTGCTGCAATACCTATGGGTGTCAGAATGCTTGTTCTACCTGTCGTACCGCCTATTTCTGCTCCCGACCCTGTGAACACATACGCAGGAAAAGTTTGTCTTATCGAGCATAAGAACAGTAATAGGAATATTCGTGCTTTATTTCAGAGAGAATCCTTATCTGTTCCATATGTGATTTTTATTGGAATTCCTTTGTCCCTGACATCAGTGGGAAGAGTACGGACCATTCCTAATAAGTATTTTGTGACAAATAAGGTGAAAGAAGTTTAATTCAGAATACTTCATGAGTGTTACCCAGCTAATCACATATGACAAAGTTTAAGAGGGACGTTGATGTGAACGGCTGTTTTTGTGGAAGCACCCTGAGACCGTTCAGCACCTCTTCTGGATCTGTTCACATGCTACGTTATGGAAAGACTTTAGCAGATTTATTATCGGACAACTCTGCAAGGACTTTGTTTTAAAATGGGAAAATGTTGTATTTTGGTTTTTTGCAAGCACAGAAAGGAAGATGTAGACTTTGTTAATTATTCTAGCTAAATTCTATCTCCACAAATGCACGTATAGCAACCAAAAACCTCATTTCAAGCACTACTATAGTGACTCTATCTTACATAAAACTGATTAAACAAAAAAGCTTTAAAAACTATAACTATTCACACCACCTATAATTTATTTGGATGTGTGCAACATGTCTGTAGTGCACCCCGGCATATGTTTCATCTTCTTTGTTCAGTTTTGTATGCAGTTTGTTTGTTTACTTATCACCTTGTTCAATAAAGTTTTGAAAAAGAAAGCAGATTGCGTTTAGGTTTAAACGCTTGAATTAACGTTTAGATTTTCTTCACAAGAAAGATTTGAAAAGTTTGAGACCCAACAAGCAAAAGTACTCAGGATAACGTCTTCCTGTAACAGACGGTGGACGAGGGCAGAAGGTTGAGCTACTTGTTCATTTCTGAGCTGGTGAAAGAACTTCCTCATTCTAATGTGACGTCATCAGTTTAACCTGTCTAACTCCGACCTTCAGCTTTGTTTAGATTAGCTCACGAATGCAGTAACCTAACATGTTTGTAACAGAAGTTGTAATGAGAAGTAGTGGAGGGTCTGGAAACAGAACCAGCAGCTGAAAAGCTCTGAGTCCACTCTCACCCCGTCTCTGCGAGCGTGGAGTTCCAACTGCAGATGAAATAAGTCCAACTCTATAAAGGGAACCTAAATAACACGTTCTTACGTTCAGCGGTTAGCTAACATGCAGATTTAGTGGAGAAGACATCCCCTAAACCACCACAGCTCACCCAGCATGTGCTGCAGAGCCCAGATAGAAATGGTACCGACCTGAAGATGCACCACATGACACGGTTCAGCTTCACCGTGATGTGGTAAATGTTACCAGGTCGAGTCTGGGCGTCGTCCTCGACAGCACACTGTCCTTCCAGTCTCACATCAATAGCATCACACGGTCAGCTCATTTCCATCTTCGTAACATGAATCGTCTTCGCCCCTCCCTTGATGTCCACTCTACTTCTATCCTCGTCCATAGTCTGGTTACTTCACAGGCCTCCCTCAGAAAACCCTCCGTAAGCTCCAGTTGGTTCAGACTGCAGCAGCACGCGTCGTCACTGAAACTCCCATCTCTCATCACCCCCATCCTCCAACAACTCCATTGGCTACCCGTGCACACCAGGACTAACTACAAGATTCTCCTTCTCACCTTCAAGGCCATCCATAACCTCGCCCCTCACTACCTCACAGATCTGGTTCACATCGTCACCTCGTCCCGTTCCCTCAGGTCCTCCTCCTCCTTCCGTCCAGCACCACGGGGAGTAGAGCCTTCAGCTGCACCGCTCCCAAACTCTGGAACTCCCCTCACCCTCTCATCAAGAACATTAACTCATTCACAGAATTCAGAAAACTCAAAACTCACCTCTTCATGACCACATATCAGCTTTGAATTTTAGAGTGCCTTGTTTGTCATCGTTGTTTTGCTTATGTTGTACCTGCGTGTACATTTGTTTGATTGGATGATTTGTGTTTTTATTCTGTACCGTCGTGTACTTAAGTGACCAGAAAGGAGCTATTTAAATAAAATGTATTATTACTTTCAAAGGAACTGATCAAACAGCTTTTATATACAAATATATATATATATATATATATATATATATATATATATATATATGTATATTCTACTTCCATTATTATCCATGTGTACACTTACATTTGCCACCTTAGATTAGTCGATGCAATCTTTGGATAAACTGCTTTACAGACATTTGAACATGTGGTAGGGAGATCAACTTCAAACCACCAACCTCCATTATCCAATCAGAAACCAGTTGTGATGTGTTTGGGGTCTCCAGCCTTCAGGAAAGCCCACCTGGGACCAAGGTGTGGTCCAGCATGTTTTAGTTGTTAACCTGTTCCAACACACCTGATACAGCTCAAGGTTTCAGGTGAAGAACCTGAAGGTGGTCCTTTCTTCAGTCTGAAAGCCTCACATCTCCATCCTGGTCTCATCGGACTCTTTCTCCTACGCGTTTAAGCTCGGGGTGTCTTCGGCCTGGCTGGTTCCCTTCCAGTGTTGCTCAAACCAGGTGCAGCTGTCAGCTGAATCCAGAGAAATGTCCTGCTGCTGCCATCACCAACAGGATGATCAGCAAGTACGTTAAAGCGTCATCGACACTAACACGTTCACACTGCAGGCCAAAGCTCAGTAAACCCGCCGTTTCCCCCACGTGTGACCTAGATCTGATTGTTTAAATGTGATCCGTGTCACTTGAACACCTAGAACTGATTCTGACACGTATCTGAAGGCGACTGCAGTCTGAACGGTCATGTCGCGTTAGACCCGTCTCCTACGTCACCGAGTCAGCGGAGGTGAGCGTGGTGTGTGGACGTTCCTGAGGAGACGCGCACGTACAGACGGGTTCAGGAGTCTGTCTGACTTCCTGTTTTAGGTTTAGGAATTAAAACAGGAGAGCATGAGAACGGGAGCTGCAGGTGCTGCTGGAGCGTCTCACCGGTCTCCGTGAGAGGGGGATTCTTCGTGAATGAATGAATACCGGAACATTTCAGGGAGACAGTGGGAAAAAGGAGTAAAATAGTTGAGTTTTTAAAAGTTTCCAGCCCAAAACAGAAGAATGAACAGGTGTGAACGTTTTCCACAGGATCAGGATTACATCACAACTCCACCGCTCCTGGTTTCTCCACTAGTGACTTCCTGTCTTCTGCGCATGCGGGTCGCGTTGGTGCCGCGGAGCGTTCACACCGGAGAGAGTTTGATGTTGCATTTCAGTCACAAAATAATCTGATTCACTCAAAAAATGGGACTGGAGCATCAAGGCCTGCAGCGGGAACGCTGCCTAGATGAATAAATGACTTGTACGGAATAGAAAACTCACAACTTTAAACTCGAGAACCCAACTCCTGTTTTAGATCAGTAGTGGTTTGTCGTTGCCACAATGGAGACGTCAAATCCCCAAATATCAGCCGATCAGGTCCAGCATAGAAAGATGATCACGGCTGAATGACTAGAAGCTCCTGTAGCTCCACTAGGAGCCGGTCTCGGCCCCGCAGCTTTTACAGGTGGCTGAAAACTAGACCTCATCTTTAATGTTGTCCTACCACGCTGTCCCACACCTGCAGCACGCTCACACAAACAGTTCAAAAACACCAATAATGCACATATTTATTTATTATACCATCACATTTGTTTCCTACAGCCATTGTTGTGTCGGGGTAGGGCAGACGGTCGTCTGTTCCCCGTCAGTTAAATAAACCGTGTGATGTAGCTGTAGAGAGACGGCTTCCACAGCGGACGCGTTTGCAGTCCCACAAGAGCAAAAACAGCCTCCCACTGCATCCATCTCACAGAAACCAGTTCTCCAGTCAAGTTCGAATAAAAACACTGAAGTAAAAGATTTGTTCTAACAAAATCCATTTAGTTTCCTCGTCTGCAAAACAAAGTGTTGACCAGTACTAAAGGAATGATGCTGACGGAAGACGCATTCACAGATTTGTTGCGTTACCACGTTACACAGCTGCTGTAACGCCTGCCTGAAGTAACAGCCTCCATCTGGTTTCTAAGCTTTACTCGGAAAGGAAAACAAGTCAGCAGAAACTAGTTAAAGTTACTTTGGCACAAAGAAGTAACGCAGTGAGGACGGAGCACATCCACACTGGTGGCTTTCATATATGTACTCATATACAAAAGAGGAGGAATCACAGAAGTACGGTTCATGGTGTGTGTGTTGGGCCGAAGACGAATACTAAAAAAGGATGGACCCAAAACAGAAAGGCACAACATCCTGTGATATAAAAATATAACACCTGCCTGCCTCGAGGCTCTCTTAAACACCCACAGCTCAGTAATCCGTCCCATCATCGTGGTACAGCTGCTCCCCCTCTTGGTAACCTTGGTAACCCTCATCCTGGTAATCGGGGATGTATTCACGGCCACTGCCTGCTCCATTATCGCCAGCGAGCTCGTCGGCTTTGGGACAGTACTTGGCATCGTAGATTTGTCTTCCCAGGCCAAAGTTCTGGCCGCTCTGATTGGCCCCCTGGCTGTAGCCCATCTGTAGGGACATGGTGCTGTTGTCACACTTGTCTGTGCCCAGTTTCTGATCGTAAATGGCTCGCCTGGTCCCAGGGGCGGTCATCCCAGCCTGTGGCACAAACACCAAAAGCATTCAGTCATTCGTTTTGCTTTCAACAGTGGTGGGGAATCTAGGTGGTTACTAAACATGCTAGCTAGTCTGCAGTGACGGTTTCATCACCTGGCTGGCTCCCTTGTTGGTCCCCATCTGCAGACTGATGGTGGTGTTGTCCATCGGGGGCTGGATGTGAGCTTTGGGGTCGTATAGATGCCTCCTGGTGCCATATGCGTTCATACCTGCCTGACTGGCACACTTGTTGGTCCCCATCTAGACAACGACAGCAACACTTTGCTAGTTCTGCACCAGTGGACACCACTAGCTCTAAAATTGCTCATAATTACTACAAGTTTACTACAAGTTTTTCCAATGACATCAAACTGTTTTGGTCGACTAAAGTAAATAAGCCAACATGAACCTCTGGCCTACTTTAGCTCTTCTTTTCCAGTTTGCTGATTGGACTACGTTACCTGGAGCCCGATGACACACTGCCCAGCCTTCATCTTCTCCTCGTTAAACATCCTCTCCTGCTTTTCGGCGTACTTCACCCCAATGTCTACGCTCGACTGGCAGCCCTTGGTCTTGGCCTGGGGTGGGGTGGGGGTTCATTTGGTTAAAGGGCAAAAGTACCAAAATCCAACCACCCATTCACAGAATGATGCAAACTCTTATTATTCCTGAACGCAGCTCGTACCACGGTCACTGGTCAGGGCCAGTTAGCTGTGGCAACCACAGGATTGGGTTCATCCAACGCCAAATTCAAGCACTTTTCAAGCACCACACTTTAGAAATAAAACAGTACATACAAACTCAGGCCAGTTTCACCTCATTACCATATGAAATCATTACTGTTATCAATAGGGATTATCCAATCACAGGACTGGATATCGAGCCTGAACACGCGACTTCTGAACCAGGTGGAAAAGATCAGATATCACCTCATACACAACGAACATGACCACAAGAGTTGAGTTTAAAATAAAAGTCATTAAGACACAGTTATGTTTGTCTGTAAAGATCAGATCAACGTTTGTAACTTCCTGTGTCCCTGCAGCTCGTCCAGTTACTAAACCAGCTCAACTAGAGGAAAGCTGCTAGTTCCCTTAGATGTAGGTCCTTTAACGGACCGTGAAAAGTGCCGGTCAGGCACGCACGCACACACACACACACACACACACACACACACACACACGGGACTGTCTCAGCTGTTATTTTCGTTAAGGAGTGTGCACGTACAGCATGCGCGCCTCGTGCACGAGCCTACTATTGAAGCTGCCGTTACTCTTTTGGCCTGAGGGGGCAGTCGCGAGCATAAAAATTCAAAACTCCGTAAAGTCCCTTTAATTATCCGTTTGAATTCAAGTAGAATACACAGTACATGAAATATACGACGATAACATTGTAACGAGTGTTCAACAGTGATGTTGGAGCGAATCGTCCCACATGGAGTAGTCTGTCCCAGGTTGGGATCTGGTCATCCTACAAGCTGTAGCAGTGCCATGCTACCAGGTGACCGACGGATCAGACGACAACTCGTGATCCACTAACAAATATGGTTTGAGAACACCAACTCCCCTTTCTCTGAAAACGATAAACCCGACAGATGACCCACCCCTCCTCAAAACAAAGACTGACTCACATGAAGGCCTTGGCTTCACAAATGTCCATTTTAGCCCAAAAAAGTTTCCAACTATGAGACGAACGTATTTTGAATTCCCTTCAATACAAAACCTTTACGACTACCAAATCGATGTGAGACTGAAGACTTTAAAAGGTCTCCGGTTTTAAAAACCTTTCAAGACCCTGCAGGTGGCGTTCATCAACCAGCTGCCGTTCCCATGTCCAGTGGCACACGCCCACCAGATGCAGCCAAACCTTTCATTTCATCAGTCTGCATAGTCAAGAGAGGCTTTGCAAACTAAATTTGTGAGTGAGCCCGTCTCTCGTAGATCACAGCAGCAGGAGGACCGGGGCTTTTTATTGGGATTGTATGAAAATTTAGCACCAAACGTTATTTTTCCTGTAGCCGCACCTACTGAATGCATTCGGTTGGTGTTCTGGTCACCTGGCCTACTTCCCTCTTAACGTTATTCCTGATCTTATCAAAGAAGGACCTGCTGGATCCCGGTCCCACAGCAGGACTCCCATACCAGTTTCATGCTTAAAGTAAGCAAAACCAGAGGAGACCACCAGTCCAGCGGCTAGACCTCATGTTAGGTGGAGTCTGCTGCTCACACACACACGCACACACACACACACACACACACACACGCACATGCACGCTACAGAGAGCAGCAGCAATCACGTTTTGGATTCAAGACTAAATTATCGCGCTCTAGTGTTGTTGTCCAAAGTTCTTATCAAACTATTTTGGTTTGATTATCAAGCACTTTCAAGGACTTAGAAATTTTCATACCTTGAAAACCAGTTATTGAAATTCAAGCATTTTCAAGGATTTCAAGCACCTGCACAGACCCTGTAATCTCTGCTGAACCAGAACTACTTCTGAACCCACCATGCTAGCAAGGGCAAGCAGCGTGGTCTGGACCTGGGTCAGGTTTCCACTCTCAAACAGGTCGTTGGCCTCAAAGATGTCGTGGGGCTTCAGGCCGTACGTCGTGATGGCTTTGATGAAGTTGGTCAGGTTCTCCAGCTGAGGACACACCAAACCAGAGAGGTCATGTAGTACTTACAGAGCGTTGGCACACGTGTCATTCTAATGAGACCTGCAGGTGTGCACAGGTCTGGGAAGCAGGTATCAGAAAAGCACCAGGTCGTTTTGGCTACGATGGAGTGACTCATCAACAACATCAACTCGTCTCCAGCTGTCGGTAACAAACCTTTCTACTGTATGTAAAAGCCACACCCTCAGGTGAGTGAGGAGGCGGGTCCTTTCCCTTACCTGGTGCCAGTTCAGTGACGAATGGTTGATCTTCCTCACAGATCCTGGCTGCAGGTGATTAATGAGTCTGAAGAACAACAGTAAAGGTTCGTTTAGAAAACACCCAACATGAAGATGAGGTCTGAGGGTTCTCCTGCTTACTCGCACAGAATGACTCCATCCTTCAGACCTTTCTGAAAGTCTGGGCCGATGGAGCGACCCGTGATGTCTTCAATCCAGATCATGAGCTCCTCTTCCTTCTGAGGGTCATACTTCTGTGCAATCTGATAGGAGAGATGGGTCAAAGGTCACAGGTGGGTTTCTCACAGCAGCTCCTCCATGTAATGTTCCCTCAAGTTACAGGAAGTTAAATCATGAACAACCAATCAGTGACGATGGTTCAGAGACTTGGACAAAGCCCGTGACATCGACTCGGCTTCAGGTCCCTCTCTCTCTCACGCACACACACACACACACACACACACACACACACACACACACACACACACACACAACCTTCCCAAGTCTGACTGATTTATTGGAGACATTTCCTCCAACTGAAACCGGAGCTGCAGACATCCTGGACTACAGCTGGGTCTGGTACCAGGTCCGGTTGGGTAAAGTGAAACCAGCCTTTGCTCTGCTCTGATTCGGTTCTGAGCTGCGTGCAGATTCAGGTCCAAGTCTCACACAAAGCTGCTTCAGATAAAAGCAAACAGCTGGCTGTACTCTTTAGGATCTTCTACCTTCTAATTAAAGGCTCTGCCTTCATTCAGCCGCATCACAAAAACAACAGTGGCGGTTTGAAGACCAGCAGATGGGATTTACAGAGATGCAAGGAATTCACCCCACTCAGCTGAACCCAGATCAGTCCCATCACAACCCTGAGAAAAGGCAGAGTGGAGTATCCCAATTCCATTACGATTACTGGGTCAACGATTCAATTCCATTCGATATCCCGATGCATCACGATCATTTCATATTGATTTGTTTTCATAGATAAATAGAAGATGTCAGATAATTGCTTTTTTTTTTTTTAAATCAAAAACGTAATTGACACAACCTGCCATCCCTCAAAAGCTCTCCATTCACAACAGGTTAGGACAAAACACATTTAAGAAGGTTCTGTCCCTGCTGCCGACAAAAGGGGACTTAACCCAACTAAACAACTGGAGACCAGTCTCCTTGTTGTGTTCGGACTATAAGGTTTTTTCTAAGTTCCTATCAAACAGACTTCAGGGATTCATCGGAGGTCTAATCCCAGATGATCAGTCCTTCTGTATACCAGGAAAGTCACTAATGGACAATTTTTAATAAGAGACGTGTTTGATGTTTGTAAAATTTATGATGTAAACGCAGGTATCAACTCTATTGATCAGGAAAAGGAGTTTGATAGGGTTGATCATGAGCTACAGGCTTTTGGTTTTGGGGGGTCCTTTCTGGAAGGGATTAAGATGTTGTATAGGAATGTCAGCTGTATGGTGAAGGTAGCGGGGGGCCTGAGTACACCCACACCTGTTCTAAGAGGAATCAGACAGGGTTGTCCCATCTCAGGATAACTGTATATTTTAGCTATTGAACCGCTGCTGTGTCGGCTGAGGAACAGGCTGAAAGGTTTACGTCTACCTTTACCTGTCTCTAGTCCTCCCTTGGTTGTGTCTGCGTATGCAGATGATGTGAATGTTTTTATCCATGATCAGCAGGATGTACAAGAACTCAGATCTAGTTTACTTTTATATGAGGATGCGTCCTCAGCTAAGGTTAACTGGGACAAGAGTGAGGCATGTGTAGTGGGGGGTGGGACCTTAATAATGTCCCGCCTCTGCCAGAAGGGCTGAGGTGGGGAACGGGAGGTATTAGAACACTAGGCCTGTACTTGGGTACCGAAAGGTTTCAGAAACAGAACTGGGAGAAGGTGCTGGAGAAGGTGGAGGCGCGGTTGTCTAAATGGAAATGGCTTCTCCCCCAGCTGTCCTACAGGGGCAGGGTTCTGATAGCAAACAACCTGGTTGCCTCGTTTCTGTGGCACAGACTGATTGTACTGGTTCCACCACCGGGTCTGCTGGAAGGTGTTCAGAAGCTGTTGGTGAAATTCTTCTGGTCCGGTCACCACTGGATCAGAGCCTCGGCTCTTTGCCTGCCCGTGTCGGAGGGAGGACAAGGACTAATAGACGTGGTGTCTAGAACTGCAGCCTTCAGGTTACAGACAGCTCAGAAGCTTCTTTATGGTGACGGACTCTGCTGGCTGCCCCTGGCGCTTCTCCTGCTGCAGAAGGTTGGTGGGCTTGGGCTGAACAAACACCTGTTCCCGTTGAATCTGAAGGTGTTGGATCTGACAAGGATTAGTCCGTTCTACTCGTCAGTGCTGGACTCGTTTAAGCTGCTGACGGGTTTCCCGAGCGCCTGCCACAGGACCAGGGACATGGCTGCTACAAGAACCCTTGATTGACAATGACTTCTTCTCCCGAGCTGGCACTTTAACTTCGTCTGCATTGAAAGTGAAGTTCACCAATGCTGGGATAGTAAAGTTTGGTCACTTACTGAAGATCCCAGCTGGAACCCTTGGTGAGCGGGTGGATGTGAGGTCCACCAGAGTGGTGGAGGACGTACAGTGGTCCTTGTCTGTCACAGAGAGCGTTTGTTGAGTATTATACTCTATCTGACCAGTGGGATGATGACAGTGAGTACGTTTTTCCATCTCTGGAGGTTAAAGCAGCTGGTGAGGGTTGGCAGGAGGAGAGTGGATCACTGCTGAAGCCGAACACTCCAGTGTTGGGCTCCTTCCAGTCTTGTGGGAAGAAACAGATCTATCACACTTGTGTGAAAGTTATCAATAGGCGCTCTTTGTTAGAAGTCGAGGTGGACTCAGGTGTTTGCTGCGGACCATGCCACTTGGTGAATGTGGAGGACACTGACAGATCTGGATGCAGCGCTGGTGCCGCCGTTAAAAACAAAAACAAAACTACATTCCACTATAATCAATTATGGCGTACTCTTCTACGATGCAGAATCGTTTATGTCCGCATCCCGATGCATCAGTTATTTGATCATTTTCCTCAGCTCTAGAGTGGAGGACATCTTGGAAAAGGGGATCCTAACTGGAGAACAGATTGGTTTTTATGTCCCGTTTATAAGCACAACCCCTCAGGCAGCAGCAGCTTTGGTCTCCATGAAACAAAACGGGTGAAAATCTTCTGAACATATGTTAGAAGAGGACACAGTCACAGGGAATTTCAGAAACTGATCCCAGAACAGTAGCCCCCCGTTTAGCCTTGGCCCCCAAAATGCCTTGACACGGCCCTGGGTGTGTGACTGAGTTTTGAAGGTGACCTGAATTGTATCAGATGTATAAATATTACATATGTTTAACTTATTGTCTTATAAACATGTAGTGGAGATAAATCTACCTACATTTGACCTTCAAGTTTTGTTTTCTTGTTTTTATTTAACTATTTTCCTGTCCTGTCCGTCTCATCTTCCTGCATCTCCTCTAAACTCTCCAGAAAAACCGCTGCCTGGTAGGTGTGAATCTTCACTTGTCTCCCGATTCGATTACTGATAAGGAAATGCGTGCATTAAGCAGCGCTGTGCGTTGAAGCTGTCATCAGCTGATCAGGAGCTAAAGAGGCAGATGTTTTCATCCAAGAGCATCACGGCCGTGGAGAACGAGGAAGACGTGATGAATATCTACGGCTGCAGGTGTGGATCTGCAGCTGCAGGTGTGGATCTGCAGCCGTGTCCTTCTTAGCGTGTCAGCGGGACGTCCCGAAGGTCCGCTCACCTGTTCTCCGCTCAGACGTCCTGATCTTCTACCTTCCTAGATCATCCAGCTGTAACCTGTTTCTGATCATGTCTTTAGTCCCGCTGTAACACTGATGCATCAGTCTCAGACGTCATGGAGCTCAGGTGTTATCAGAACTACCTGTGTGTGTTTACCACCCAGCTTCAGCTCTTCTGTGGTTGGGTCTGACCCAAGTTAGTAAATGTGAGTCCTCCATCAGGCTTGTGCCTCTTCTAGTGTCATTTTAAAGGATTTTATTTATTTAACCGTTACTAGATTAGCAGCAACAGAAATGCTGCTAAAACACACAATTATGTGAAGCTGGAAAAATTAAAATACTGTACAGAATTACATTTATTTCTGTAATTTAACTAGACTGAGAGACCATTTAAAGGCTCGGGAACCTTTACAGGTGTTTTAAATGTTAGCTGATTGGGGTCTTGTTAAATATCACACAGTCACCTTTTAATAGTCTAGATAAGTGTAATGCTCCTGTTAGTAGTTCCTCCTGTTAAGTGCTCATTTATTTAAATTATTCAGGTTTATAAAAAACATTTTGACATACATTTTATTATGTTCCAGTCATTAGTCGTTTATAGGGCTGGGGGTAAATGATTATTTTTAAAACGATTATTCTGACGATTATTTTATCGAATAGTCGACTATTCTAATGACTATTTAGAAAATTAATCTAATGATTATTTTTCTATTGCACAATTAACAAAAACCAGAAAATCTCAAATAAATTCCTCAAAAAAATTGATAAATTCTTACTGTAAGAGAATAAACACTACAGGCCTTCCATTTTGTATAACACTGCTTTTATTGTGTTGCGGTTGGTTATGTTCTGGTGACGTGTAGAACTTGGGAGTGCAGGCTGCTGCCTGAGAGGTGGTAGAAGATGGAGTGTCTCCATGCTGCTTTGTTTTGGTCACTTATGTGCGTGAGGCGAGTGGTGTTACGGGTTAAACCAAACTCAGGTGATATTTTACACTAAACCAAAAACCCACAACACTCTAAATGTAATAAAAGGGAGATCTACACCACAAAAAAGATGAACTCTAAACCAAAACGTAACAGCTTATCCCAACGCAAGAAGCTGTTAGCGAAGATGCTAACAGTAGCTTTACCAACGTTAAGTTCAAGTTACCAAGTTTAAATAAACCAAAAACACCCAGCAGCAAACAGACCAGCACGGAGGAGAGACTGCTACCACCAAAACAGCTCTCCTCATGTCTGAAAGAAGCTCCTTAATGAAGGGAGAAACGCTCCCGGTGATTTTCTACATCTGCGATAGACACGAAGCAGCGCATCTGACCCCGGAAGTTGTTGTCCGTTGCCGGGAGACGAAGGGGCAAAACAGGAAAATAATCTAGTAGTGGACGGACGTTGTTCTGGGTCTTCGGTATTTGGCGGAGATGTTAGTGAAGGCGGAGAAGAGGGCGAACTAGAGGAAAAACAGGCAGATTCCTCCTCTATTTACAAACTCCTGGGGATGCAACAAGTGGGCGCGGTGCGTCGACTTCCGGATCTGACGTCGACAAATTTTTAGAATCGAGCCGTCGACTTCGTCGAGGCTTCGCTACAGCCCTAGTCGTTTATATTTCACTATTGTAGTCATTTATAGTAAATTAAGTAAGTTCAATTAACCCATTTTTCTAGCATTCTTTGATAAAGAAAGTAACCAAGTAGTTATTTTTCTTGGTAATTAGTTACTTTTATAATCTCGTAACTCTGTAATTAGTTACTTTTATAATCTCGTAACTCTGTAATTAGTTACTTTTATAATCTTGTGACTCTAAGTAACTGAGTTACTTTTTTGACTAATTAGTAACTACAACTAATTACTTTTTAAAAGTAACTTTCCCAACACTGCAAGCTAACTACAAACCTTTCCACTAGCCTGTCCTGTGGGACCCTCACCATGTAACCCTCATGTCCACGCTGTCTCTGGAGGAGCAGATAGGAGACAAGACCTCCTGTAACCTAAAATGAACCAAAGCTTTCTCCCAGTTTCTCTTTCAGCTGAATTTAACATCAGTTTATCATCATGAAACAAAAGAATAAAGTGGAACAAGAACTTCTATCTTCTATTTCTCTCTCCTTTTAACTTCTCCGTGTCCCTAAATAAAAGACAGATGATCCTGCTGCAGCCGCCGTCATTGACCCCGCCCCCTCCCCAAGACCGGATCTCCCGACATCACAGCACTCGGTCTGACTGAGCGCTTCCAGGAGAAATAATAATTAAATTATGAAAATAATGGATTTTTACTTTTTCACCTCATCAGTTACTTTGGAGCAGATCAAAGGGATCTCCTGACCGCAAAGCGGAGAGCGCGTTTCGATGCTGCGTCAGTGAGGTGACATCACCGCAGCACACGATGAGCAGAGCACGTCAGGAAAGATCAAAAGACAGAATACCAGAGGATTTAAACAGATATGAACAATCATGTGTTAATAATAATGTTTTGTTGCACCACCTTGAGAATGTATCGTGTGCCGGACGCACCAACGATCAGCGCTCTGCGTCCTCTCCGCTCAACAGAATCCCGCTGCGCTGAGAGTCCATAAATATTGTAATATAGGCAGAAACTGGATCTTTTCCTGAAAGATATCTAGCCCCCCATAACTCGATCCCTGCTCCTGGATGAAAAACCGGACACTTTGATCCATGTAGGACCCCCTCCCCCCCGGACAGAGAGTGAAAAGTGGACATGTCCGGGGGAAAGAGGACATCTGGTCAGCCTACGATAGCACCAACCATAGATACGTACCAACTAGTGAGAAAAGCCATTTTTGATATTTTCCTGCAGCGGTTTAAGTGCGTTTCGGTGCACCGCTGCTGATACAGCGCCCCTATAGTGGTGTAACGCTGCAACTGCAGTTAAAATAACATCCACTTTAGGGATGCACCGATGGATCGGCATTTGATCCCAATCGGCCGATAGCGCCCCTATCGGTTTTGATCGGAGTTTTCAAAATAGATCAAAGCAGACCGATCAGGTAGGGTTGTCACGGTAACCAGTGTAGCGGTAAACCCCGGTAAAAAAGTTGACAACAATAATAACCGTCTTGTTTTTTAAAAAAACTATATTATCTCGGTGGATTACCGTGGCTGCGGTGTAGGCGCGGTGACCCTTACCAGCCACCGTATCATCTGCTGAAGTTGCCGGCGGCACATGCGCACTTTGTTGTTTACAACCAAAACTTTCTTGAAGCTAAAGCTGAAATAATGGCCAAAGGAGGAGACGGCAGCGCTCAGGACGTTTATTATCCCTCAAAGAAGACAAAGTGGGAAGTACGGGCATCTTTTAGATATGTGAAGAATGCCGAGGGACAGCTGATAGAAGACGGCTATCCTGTTTGCAGCACGTGCAGAAAAAGTGTCTGTGAAAGGCAGCAACGCTTCAGATCTCATGACACATCTGCGTGACCATCACCCACAACTCTACAGTCAACGCAAGGCAAGCTAACGTTAGCGTTTTAGCTAAAATGCGTGATCCGAGGATTTGGGTTGAGGGAGAATGCAACGAGTCGCTATATAAAGCAGCCGCAGCGCCGCTACCTGCATATAAACCGTGTCGCGGACACCGCCATGTTGAAATGACGCTTAGCATTACGGGGCTCCCAGGGGCAGATAAGAGTTGGTCTCTCTCCGAGAATAATTATGAATTTAACAATGATTACTGCCTGATGACATTTTCCCACATCTGCAAAGCTCACTGGAAGGACACAAACCGAGGACGATATTTTCCTGATATAGGGTTTATTACTCAAGTAAGGGTAAAAAAGTATCTGATTAGAAGGCTACTTGAGTACTGAGTATCATCTGGTCTAATGTTTTTAAAATGATGACATCAAACAGACAAAAAATAAGAAGTTATGGGCAAATATTGGTATTTTAAAGACTAAAGGGAAAAAATGTAAACAAATAAACAACATAATTACAAAATAACACATTTTAGGCTAAATTTAGACAAACTGAGGACAATATTTCCTGACATACAGGGTTTATTTAATTGTGTGAAAATGTAGCACGTTTAAAAAAAATACCGCGATAATACCGAAAACCGTGGTAATTTTGGTCACAATAACCGTGAGGTTAGATTTTCACACCGTGACAACCCTAACAGACCATTTTAGATTAGGTTACATTTCCTTTATTCCCAGATTATGTAGTTTGTAGCACTCATTATAATGTTGTAGAATAGATAGATAATAAATATCCACCCCAGATTTAAAACACTTTTCTGGTTTTGAACACACCGGTAGTGAGATCAGCACGTGCGACGCTGGTGACGCCACAGTGGAAGGGTGGAGAAGGAAAAGGCGAATCTGTGGAGATCAGGCCAACTTTACTTCAGTCACGGACATTCCTACTACGGGCCAAATAAACAGCAACATCCGGGTCTTTCAACAACTTCAGGAAACTCTGTCGGGGGGGGGGGGGGGGTAGTTACGCAAACTACTGATTTACGAACATCTGGACGTGAACTACATCCCATAATAAGGCTCTCGCGTGCTGACCCCAGCAGAGCCAACGGGACCGTTCTCTGGTGGAAGACAACGGGACGGTTCTGTTCTGGTGTCTGGTCTGGACCGAGCTTCTCACCGGGTTCGCGTCCGAACTGTTCTGCTACGGGGTCGCAGGTATCTCCTGCGCAAACGGGAAGGTGCGGGACGGAGGTGCGGAGTTTTCGTCCTGGTGGACGCGGTCCGAGCGGGACAAGACGGAGGGACAACGCCCAAAGGCTCTCTGCTGTTCTGCTCAGTCACTAGTTCACGGCAATCAGGTGAACTGGGCTCGGTCACCTGAGCAACCGCTAAAACTTTGAGCGTATCAAACGTTCTTAAAAAGTCCAAACTAAACTTTTCTACCGGACTGTGGTTGTTCCCTCCCTGAACCTGGGCACGCATGCCAAAATGGAGGCCAGGTGACTCCGGCTCGCGCTCATGAAAACACACGAGCCAGTGAGAAAAGTTCGAACCTGTTCAATTTACCTTCAAACACAAACGCTTACCTTGTTTTTCACTTCCGCTGATAGTCCGTAAGCCGGGCCTTTGTTGAAGGAAGACATCGTTATCGTTTCGTACTTATAACAGCGTCGCGCTGACTGCTGAATATAAACCTGCGCCTAATTATTGTAGACTTTCTCTTCCAATGAAACTCCGCACAGAACCAAACGCTTCCGGTCTGTTCTGCTGCCACCAATCAGAACGCTCCCACGGTTTCTGCCAAAGAGCACCGCGCTTCTGGGTCAAGACAGTTCCCTGCAGCAACGCTCCGTTTCGGTTTGGGATCGCTGCAACAAATGAACAGGCGCATCGCTTTTGACAGACCCGTTGGTGTTACATCAACATGTAACAAATGACCAATAAGATGTTATAATTCCAGATAAATATGAAATATCGATCTGATTGGTCTTTGAATCTTTAATCAGCATTCAACAACAATAACAATAAAGTTTTAGGTATCAGGCGTGACATTAAAAGCAGACACTTTGATGCTCCACCTGAGAGTAAATCTGTGAGGCTTGTTACCAACATTCAGACATCAATTCTGCTTGCTTCACAGCCAGACAGGAAAAAATATAATGATAAAGAAAAAAGAAACCGAGAAGACCAAGGCACGGGAAAGGCAGTCCGTCACCACACTGGACTTTCCAGCCACATGCTGGATGTCTGTGGTGAACTCTGAAACCGCAGCAAGGTGTCGCTGCTGGCGACTGGACCAGGGTTCAGAGGTCATGGACATAGCAAAAACCAAAGGTTTATGGTCTATGTATGCAGTGAAATGGTGGCCTTCCAGGAGAAAGCAGAAATGGCATGTGGCCAGGTAGAGGGCTAGCAACTCCCGGTCAAATGTGCTGTACTTCCACTCTTTATCCCATACATAAATAAAGTTTAGTAGTAGTAGTAGTAGCAGTCAAAGGTAACGAGACAGAAGGGAAAGGGTGGGCCGACATCGCAGCATCAGCTAACGCAGCTTTAGCGTTGCAGAAGGCCTGCACACGGTCTGGGGTACAGTCTACCACATAGCTCGCTTTGCTTCATCTGAAGGCACCGTAAAGCTGTGCCGCTCTTGGGAGAAGGCGGTTGTAAAAGTTAACCATCCCCTGAAATTCTTGCAAACCTTTCACTGTTTTCGGCTGTGTAAATTCTGCAACAGCTTGCACTTTAGCGGGCAAGGGAACTGCACCACTGGCGGAAATGCTGTGAACCAGAAAGTCAGTCTGTGCCAGCCCAAATTGGCATTTAGCTGGGCTGACATTCAGACCATGTTCGGCCAAACGTTGGAAAACTTGGCGCAGGTGATTGACACGCTGTTCAGCAGAGTGGCTGGCAACCATGATGTCATTCAAATCGGCAAAAATAAAGGACAAACCTCCCAAAACTGAGTCCATCAGCTGCTGGAAGACTTGTGCAGCACCTTTAACCCTCCCACTGCCACTCCTCACCCCTGCCACATGGACCCAAGAGATAAACCATCAATCCAGCTCAATGGTCAACTTTCCTCGCGGGGTCACACCCATTAAGTCAGTGGGAGGGTTAAAGCCAAAGGGCATGCGTATAAATTCAGAGAGGCTAAAGAGGGTGATGACAGCGGTTTTAGGAATGTCCTCCGTACTCACTGGGACCTGATGATAACCATGCACCAAGTCTACCTTCAAAAGGATGGAGGTTCCAGCGAGGTGTACTGAAAAGTCCTAAATGTGGGGGATTGGGTACCGGTCACTCTCAGTGACACCATTTAGGTGGTGGAAATCCCCACAGGGTCACCACGGTCCATGAGCCTTGGGCACCATGTGCAGTGGGGATACCCACAGACTGTCAGAGCAGTGCCCAATGCCCAAACGCTCCATGTTGGCAAACTCTGTCCGTGCGATGGCCCGCTTAGCCGTGTCAAGGAGGCGTGGGCGTGCAGAGACGGGTGGGCAAGTAGTGGGGATGAAATGTTCAATGGCGTGTTTAGCTACAGAGCTAGAAAAGGTAGAGAAACACACGCTGGAAGGCATTTCCTGTGGAGAGGAAATTAGCATGCATTTGGGGTCCGGTCCTTTTTGTCATACATGGCATAGATACAAAAGACACAGCATCAATCAGCGCCTGTTGTTTAACCCGCTCAGGCTCAAGATAAGTTTTGATAAAAGGACGAACAACTAAGTCCTTCAGAGGTACTTCTGAGTTAAAAAATGCTCATGAAACACGTGTGTGGAGTAACCAGGTAGGTAGGTTTTAACGTTGCACATCTGCCACGCCTGCCTCCAGAGGGTTAAGTCAACTAGAAGTCCATGTGCACAAAAAAAATCAGCACCTAAGATAGCAACTGAACTTGTGGCCACAATTAAATTCCAATCAAACTCACGTTCATAGAAGCATACTGTCACCAACCTTTCACCAAAAGGTTTGATGGCGGATCCATTAGCTGCAGTCAACAATGGTCCGCAGCCTTCAGCTATTCTGTCAGCTGCGGTTGTCAGCTTTGTAGCTAGGAGGGTGTCGTCAGCTTCCTCAGCCAGCGAGTGGTAATCCATCTGTTGCAGCAAAGCAGAGTTTACAAGAATGGCCCGCACCTGAGCCGGAAGCTGACAGAAGAAAAGGTGGCCAAAGAAGAATCCTCCGTGGTTGGAACCAAGTAGGGAGAGCATGCTCTCCATAAGCTCCAGGGCAGTGCCATCTCCGTGTCCGGCAGGAGAGAGCAGCTTCTCCGCTCGTTCCGCTTTGGAGAGGGTGTAGCGATGAGCCAGCAGTTGTTTGAGGGCATTAAACTTCTCCCGGGGTAGAGGGTTCCGGAGCAGGCATATCACCTGTCGGGTGGAAAGTGAATCCAGTGCAGTGACCACATGGTGGTATTTTATGTCGTCAGAAGCAAGTGCGAACTGTGCTTCGATGTGAAAGAACCATGCTGAAGGGTCAATCTGGAAGCCTAAGAGCCATGGCAGATGTGAAAACTGGGGCCAGCTATGGTCCAGCAGCCGTTAGCAGTGCTGGAGCTTGTTGGGCCGCTTCGTCAGTCGACATGTTCGCTCACGGGGTCACCAATGTGGAAGAGTCAGGGACGACACAAAGATAGGTATGATGTACCCAAAGGCCAAGCATTTACATAAAAAATGACCAGAAATAAACTTAACTTCATTTCCAGACACAAATATCCATCTGTCTGGCCTCCAAACAACAAACGCACGACACAAGGCCTTGTCACCAGATAACGGAGCCATAACAAGCCTAGCTAACTTGTCTCGGCTGGAACAAAAGTCACACGGAAGGTGAGACTTTCTGCACCTTCACTCTGAATAAAGTTCACCTTCCTTGAATTATTAATCACTTTTTAAAAGTTGATAATTGCATAAGTGTCATATAATCATCTCTTGTTTAATTCCAAAGTGTTTGAATAATGTGTGCATTAATCAATGATGTGTTAAAATGAATATTTTTCCTGTAATGATCCATTTCAGATTTTAAATGACACCAGATTAGTGTCTGTTGATTTAATGTTAATCTATCCAACCTATTATAAAAGATTATTATTAATGTTTAACATTTTTGATCCTCCTCCACATCAGAGGCTCGGGCATCTGGTCAGGATGCCTCCTGGCAGCCTCCCTGGTGATGTTTTCTGGGCACATCCAACCGGGAGGAGGCCTAAAGGGAGACTCAGGACACGTTGGTGGGACTATGTCTCTCACCTAGCCAGGGAACGCTTTGGGAATCCTCCGGAAGAGCTGGCCCAAGTGGCTGAGGAGAGGGAAGTCTGGGCCTCTGTGATTTGAGCCCCACAACTCAACTCTGGATAAATGGAAGAAAATGGATGGATGGCATTTTTGCTTCACTGAACCGGTTCGCTGGAGTTTTTGACAATTAAAATCTGCGCCTATCACACTGTCACAATCTGTCCTGTCTCCCCACCCTCTGTTCAGTCCTGTGTCTTCCCTAGTTGCTCCCACCTGCCTCTCATCTCCCAATCTCTTAAGATCCCAGCTCGTCTTGTATTCAAACCCTCCCAGTTCTGTGTTCCTTGTGCGTTCATTGTTTCAGTGTCCCGTGAGCTCTTCATTAAAGCCTTTTTGAATGATCTTGCCTGCCTGCCTTTTCCCCCTGCACCTTGGATCCTCACCTCAACCACTCGCCTCGACTGCACCATGACAGAATAAACGGACCTTCCCAGCGGGGAAATTCTTCCCTGGGAGGGCCTGCTGCAGTGGCTCACTCCCAGCTACCAGCCGGCTTCCCCTCCTCCAGCGCCGCCTCGCCGCAGACGCCGCCGCCGTACCTCGGCGATCCACTCTGCTCTCCCAGATCCAGAAGGGAGGTTGGGCTGGGAGGCGCAGCTGGACCACTCCCCCTGCGAGGGCACCAGACTGGCCGTGTGCTCTCCACGGTGCTGGGAGGGAACCCAAGCCCTGCCATCACCTCCAGCCCTGAAGCTGCGCCATGGGCATGCCGCAACCTCTGCTGACGTCACCTCCAGCTCCTCGGTGAGTCAGACTCCAGAGGGGGTTGTGAGGACTTCCCACGAGCGGCACACTCAGCCAGAGGACACCCCTCCCGAGGTCTCCTTCCACTCCAAGGGGGCCAAGGGACCAGACGGCGGGGTCGAGCTAGCAGAGTGGTGCCGCCTACCTCAGAGGCCCCCGGTCTGTGCGCCAGCTTGGACCCCCAGCCTCCATCTCCAGTCCAGTCAGCACCTTCGAAGCCAGACCAAGGGGCCGATCCTGCGGGTTACCCAGGGGAGCTCGCTTGCCTCCAGGCTGAGCTGGTCTGGCTCAAACATCTTATCAGCCTCCGGGAGTTCCAGATGGTGACACTCACCACCCTGATTTTCCAAGCCTTCTCGCCAGCTCAGCCCGAGTTTTGGCCGTCCTCTGGGAGCAGAACCCCAGTGCCTCCAGCGGCTCCACCTGCAGAGGCTCTGCCTCCAGGGGCTCCGCCTCGAGCGGCTTCGCCACCAGGGACTATGCCCCCAAAGGTTCTCCAATCTCCCTGACCTCTACAGGCCCTCCGGGTCCACCACCATTACCCCTGTCACCCGGCCCTTGGGGTTCCAGTCCACCCAGCCGCCCGGCACTCTGGGGCCCCCCTTTTCCAAGGCCTCCCAGGCAACGTTGTCTCCTCCCGTGCCCCAGACGTAGACCCCCCAGACACTGTCGTCTCCTCCTGTGCCCCAGACGTAGGCCTCCCCCAGACTCCGTCTTGGCCTGAACTGGACATCCAGTGTTGCCCTTTAAAGGGGCACCAGTTGCCTTCATTTGAACCCTTTGGATTACCATTACCTGGATGACTGAGAACCTTCACCAGCACACAGAGGGCTTGGTCAAAGTAGTGGTGATTGGGGTTCAGCAGGGTCTGTGGAGGGTTAGCTGGCAGGACTGACGCACAAGTGTTGTCCGAGCAATGCTGGCATGTAGCTAGGCCAGTGCCAAGAGGGCTACAGCGGTTCGAGGTGTAGCGCTCCAGTAAACATCATGAGGTTCTTTTTTATTCGGACATGTAAGGTTGTGTTGTGAGTTTACCTTGACATGTTTCGACCGACGACTGCTATCTTCATCAGAAGTGTCAAAGATGTTTGTGTGACATGTCTTTATCAGCTGTTTTTCTGGTGGGCGTGACCAACCTGGATCTGTCAGATCTGCTGGGTCGGTCACGCCCACCTCCACTGGCTGGTCTTTGGAGAAGGAAATCCCAGGTGTGAGGCAGCTTATAGGCCCCCTCGTCTCTGTTCATGTCCCACTGTTCCCGTTTCCTTATTTCTATTGCCTTCCTGATCCAACGCCTGAACCGGCTGCTTTCTGTGCTGACAAGGATGCGTCACACCAACGTCTGTGACACTTCTGATGAAGACCGCAGTCGCCGGTTGAAACATGTCAGGGTTGATGTGGGCTGTTGAACGCTTCTCTAACCACGTCGGTGGACAGAAATATTCGGACATGTAAGGTTGTGTCGGGAGTATTCTCACGTCCCACTTTGGCAAGTTGGGATCTGGTCGCCCTACTCACAAGTCACAGTACACAACATTCACAGGGTGTAGACCCATTAAAAGTATTTGGTCCAGAAGATATTTCCTAACAAATGTTAAACTATTTTAAAGGGAAAATTGTGTTTGTGAAAAAAAAAATCATCTAAACTAAATTCAACCTGCTGCATCAGCAGAAGTATTCTTGTTATCGTATCAAGAGATTTTTAACTCATTTATTTATAACTGTGAACATCTGCCACGAGCCATGCAGGACCAGGCAGCAACATTATTACAGCCCAAAATGTGAGAGCTGGAAAAAACAGAGAATCGGGAATGTACCGTATGATGTCACACCGGATGGCGTCGCATCAAATCCATTCATAAATAAAACTTATTTCATAATAAAAATGTTACCGTTTGTGAGCATCTGCCTGTCAGACCTCTTATCGGTTGTTTTTAGTAGCTGAAGGTTACAATAACAGTTTACTGCCTCGGTGTGTTTTCACCTGTAATAGTGTGTGTGCTGCTGTAACGAGTGGATTTCTCCACTGTGGGATTAATAATCTGTTCTAATCCATTTACAAATGCCATGAAGGGCAGACCACGACATTAAAATAAACGACTGTTTTATGGAAACATTCAACTTGCAGAGTTTCTGCCTTTACCTCACACTGCTTACAGGGTATTCTCTTGTTTCCTTTGACTCTTTGGTTCCCACTTTTATTAGTCGATCCTGGCTCCACCTCTCCGTAGTCCCACTTGTGTCGAGATTTAGATGGAAAAGTCCTTTTATGGAAGGAAACTTCCCAAATTCCAGAGTAGTGGGCGTGGTCCAGAGTAGTGGGATCCTCCCTGCATTCCAGACTCGCCAGACCAGACAAATGACCCCAACTCCTGAGTCACTGGCAGGAAAAAGGTTTGCAGAAGTTACTCAGGTGACGTAATGTCGGCGGTCTTGGTTTATCAGGCTGAAGCCTGAAATAAGTAAAACCCCTGAATGAACATAAAATACATCCACAGGAAGTGGAATTCTCAGGTCAAAGGTCATCACAAACTCATGTGCTTGTTTAAACCAGCTGGTGGGTCCTGACCTTAGGAGTACCTATAGAGCTTCTCTCTGGAATGTCCAACATCCCCTCAGGGCTTCTAATCCTAGACAAGGTAATAAAAACTGGCGTGAGTGTGTGTTAGATGATGACATCATCCATGTGCATCAGCAGCACTGATTCAGTCCACTCATCCTGTTGCACCCAGCGTGGTTCTGGTCCCGTTCAGTAAGGCTGGACCCAGATACCGTTCTCCGCCTAGCTCTTGCCCCGCTGAGACCTGGCCGCAGCTCCACAGAAAGAGATTCAGATAAGGGTTGGATAATATTCATCACACGAAGGCCAGTACTCCGTTCTAAAACTCCACACACAAACCTGTCAGCTTAGTTAGACATGTTTACGTTTTAGTGCCTTGTTGGATCAGCTGTTCAGACACAGGGCGGTGTGCGCCCCCTGATGGACAGACTAGAGAAGCACAACAAGAAAAACATCCTGGGCCTGAAGGAGGAACACACGTATGTTCACCTCGGTGGTGACAGAAGCAACATGAAGGACCCACAAGTCAGCTGGCAGAAAAAAGATTTAAATCATTTTATTTTTCAAACAATTTAGATGTTAAACACTGAACAAATAAAGACCCAGTTGAAACTCAAGAAAAACTATTCATCAGTTGTAGCATGTCCTTTATTGCCAGCTGTGTTGTGCAGTTTGTCTGCAGAGCCGCTTCTCCTCCGATCAGCAGAAAACGGTGCGTATACCAGAGTCACGACCATCACAGGTGTGGATGTTCTCACCGACGTCTACACAGGCTTGTGTTGTGGAAACACTTCCAGACCTAACGTTTACCAAGGCACAATGGTAGGGATGAGAACAAGGACCGCAGCTGCAGAGGCCAACCTTCATTTAACTGGTCAGATAATGATTTATGATGGCTTCTTTTAAATAGAAATAAAATTTAGAAGGTCACTCATCACACAAGGAAGGGCCGAAATGTTCTCCACCTCTGACTTTTTATGTCGGCGGTTTAAACAGGAAACGGGGCGACTTTGGGCGCGTGACTGAGACACGTCTACATTCACATAAAGGCCGTTAAACTCCAAATGAAAGTCTGTTAAAGAGCTTCTGAGGATCCTGCTTTAATCCCGCCCACCTGACGGTTTCTGATGGACACGAGATGTGTGTGTCCACGGGCCAGAACCATCAAACCAACCCAGAGGTGCGGCTATGCCTGCATCAGTCACCGAGGATTAGATGGGAGAAGAAAAACATCCCATAAATGAACTAAATAGATGTTTAGATAAGAAATGCACCCTTCAGTCCAGATGAGGCCTCTTGTTGCAGCTCATGTGCTCCAGCGCTCCTGGACACACTGGGCTGGACAAGACCAGCAAGCCTAGCTTAGTCCAGCCCAAGTCCTCTTAACGTCTTCATCACTACCAGTGGTTCATTTGGTTTAAACTGAAACTCAAACAGCCCTTGATGTTAAAACTTAACTCTTTAGGTTTCATACCAAAGTCTCAACACTCTCACAGGCGGAGCTGTGGCGACGGGAGTCGAGCGGCCTGGGCTCGTACCAAACTCGCAGCAGACAAACAAAATCACAAAGGATCTCGTCTCCATCGAGACAAAAGGTGAAAAAGAACCAGCAGCCGTTCTAAAGCCCTCAGTCCAGGCACACATATGGCAGGATGTTCAGTCTGCTTTCGTCTCCATGAGGGTCCAGTGATATACACGCTGTCCAATCATACCAGGCTCCCTTGGTGTCGTAACAACCGTTCACCCCCTGCCAGGTCTGTGTGTGTATTCTGTCCAGGTCCTCATCCGTCACCTCCCGACTCACACCTGGTAAATCTCCTGTTAAATGGTCCGTCTGCAAAACGTGTGTTTTATTTGAGTCTTTAGTCTCCCTTTCTTCCCTTTTTAGATATTCTGACATGAAGAAGTGTGCGCTAGGGGCCTGGACCCCCGAGGAGGTGAGCACGTTGCTCTGAAGGTTCAAGTAGGATTGGATTATTTCATTTCTAGTCAGCTCCTTCCAGTTGGTCTGGTGGAAGGGGTTTGAGCTGGGACCTGGGGCGGGGGCTGCACAAGGGGGCTGTTGGACAACGACTTCAGTTCTCTGCCTGGACTCTCCCAGGTCCGGAGTGGGGGGGTCCTCTGTTGGAGAAAGTTCTTTATGCACCAGAGGTTTGATCTGACCAGTGACCGGGTCAAATGTCAGTCTGCGTTCTTTTAACCGCACAGGTTTAGTCGTGTCCTCTAGTTTCAGGCCATCCAAGTTAACGGAGTAGTCTCTAGGCCTGTACTTCCTCCTTTTATGCTCAGAGTTAAGGACTGGCCCATCAGGGTCATCAGACACACTTAAGCTTCTTTCAACCACCAACCTGTGGACCTCTGAGTTCTGCGGGGGAGGCGGGGGGGAGGGGGAATCCAGTGTTGCAGATAGATCTTGGGGAGGGCAATGAGAGAATACCTCTGATGAATTAGCAGAGGGCACTGAAGACCGAAGAGAAGAAAGTTTTTCACTGTGAGACACCGGTACTGGGGAGGACAGAGGCTGGGAGAAGAACAGGGGGGAGTCTCTAGAAGATGGGCTGGGGACCGGCGTTCCCTTTGCTACGTACGCTGAACGCTTAGAAACGGGGTCTTGCTTTAGGCTCCTGGGACTGGAAGTGAGACTGCGGGGACTCCTCGCTGGGTAATAGCCCCCGCCCCCTTCTTCCAGTTTAGCTTGCTGTTGCATCACAGCAACTTTAATCAACGAGGAAGTGCTAGGTGCTTTGGCCATGCCAGGGGAGCTGGGACGGGGCTTGACAGCATTAACTGGAATTCTGTTTCCTTTGTCATTTTCAAGGTGGTCTGTCCGAGGCCTGTCAGGAGAAGGAACGACCTCCTGGTCGGCCAACGCATCGGCACCACCAGCAGTCCCGTTGGTGGGTGGCGGAGAAACAGAGTCATCAAACGCCGACAACCTGGAGATTTTTTCTGTTACGTACACGCCACTGTCTCTGTGCTCTGCCCGCCGCTTGCGGTTACTTGACTTCTCAGCCTTAGGCGAGTATGTGTTGTGAGCATCACTTCGGATTGTGACTTCTGTGACCGCTTTCCCCGATACAGAAATGTCAGGGGGAGAGGGATCGGTTTTGCAGGGATGGGAACTGCCATTGGTAGACCCCGGGACACTTGCTGAAACAGCCGGCCCAGGTTCAATCAGTTTTTGCCAGTTTCTCAGGAGTTTCTTTGCACGCCTTGCAAGGTCTTCATCCTTGGTTTTCCTCCTTACATCATTAATCAGTTTTCCAAGTCGAGTTTCCTGAAAATAAATAATTAAAAAGTGAAAACTATTTTGGCACCACAGCCTCTGTAGGCATTAACCGCCTATGACACGTTCATTCTTACCTCAAGTGCTTCTTTGGTAATCGGATACTTCTCAAGACAAGCGATCACTTCCAATACAACCACCATGTTGCATATCTGCAACAAGGACATGCCAGCAGTTAGTAACCCCCAGCTTCTACTGGTGGCAGTAATATTTAGATTTACAGCTGTAGTCTGTGGATGAAAATGTAATCACACTGGACAATCCCACCCAATCACATTCCCACAGTAACAGGAACTCCAGAGATCTGGACTAACTGCTCCCTGACTCCGGGGTGGAAAACAACATGTTCATCGGGAGAAACTCAGCTGGATGTTTAGCTCCAGAAACCGAACGATGTTGCAAAGCTGATGTGGCACAGAGACACTCAAAAATACCTGGAATCATCTCAGCAAAGGTTTATGAACTTGGAGCAAACCGAGCATCTTGTCGACAGCGTCAGCCCTAGCCCGAGTCGGTGGACCTGCCTGTGTTAGCTAGTCAGGGTAGTTAGCATTTAACTTACTTTAGAAGGAAGGAGCATTTCCTCAACGCTATTCCAGCCACTTGGTTCCCTAAACTTTGTGATTGTTTAAATAAAACATTTTCACTAAAACTGTGCTGTTTGGGATAACTTAAACTTTTCTTTAGATGAGATGATTTCGTAAAACAACGACTGGATTGCTCCTTTATACCAAATCTGCTTTGGTGTTAAGCTACGTTAGCAGCTAACAGGCTACATAACGGCAGATATCCGTCCAATCAACGCAGCGCTGCTGCTAAATTAGCTGGCATGCTAGCTGTCAACTCGCCCCGAGCCTTTTTGTCACCGAGACATCCGACGTGTCGAGGCCGAGCGCACCTTTCAGCGTAGTTTGTATAAACAGCGACGTGCCACCCGAACAGCTGCGTGGATGTTGATAGGCAAACAAGCTAGCGTTAGCTTTAGCATTGCTCACATTGCTCTGACTGTCAATGGCCTGCAGCAGCCGGTCCTTCATCTGCTGCGGGGTTGCTGAGACCGTTGTCATTGCCTGTTCGGTGCGATCCAGGAGATGGAGGGAGGAATCCTCCAAAACGAAAGCCGGGTGACTCAGAAGCCGCTTCGGGAACACGTCGGGCGCCCGAGCAGCATGCTTTCTGTCGCATGTAGGTCTGAGTTGATCTCACATGGAGTCGGAAATATGTGAGCGGAGCGGAGTCGCTGCTGCCTCGGACCTCCTCTCACTACCAACTGCTGGATGCCTCAACGGCCTCCTGCTGCATGCTGGGATACGATGTGTCTACGTCATCACGTTCGTACGTAACCAAGTAAACATCCCGACTACAGTGACGTTTTTAAATATAAACTTTGTGAGTTGTTTTTCAGTAAATATTTGATTGACCGATTTTATATGAAACGTTTAAATTAAATTAAATTCAAGTTTATTTATGCAGCAACTTGGTGGACTGAATGACGGACTGACAGTTATGAAAAACCTGTTTATTACAGATGATACATGTTTGTGATTATAAAAATAACAGATCTAAGACAGATGCTAAAGCACATTGTGATTTCCTGCGGACCTGTGAAAAGGACAGCTTTTGAGAGCTTCTGGCTCATGCTGTCACACTGAAAGCTACGAGTTGCTAATCTTGCAAGGTGGTGCATCCTCAGCTTAAAGAACAGGGAGACAACAGATGTCAACAGTGTACGGGAGTGACACTCAGTTCCGTACGGTGTCTCACTGATGAGCTCCCCGAGCAAAAACACATCCTCTGACCCGATCCTCTTGCACACGATGTAGACGACCTCCAGTGGTTTGATGGGCTGTGATCGTCTGCCCACTGATGCCTGGCGAATTGCCCACTCTGCTGCTCTGATGACCCTCACAGCACCTTCAGATGGGACCACAAGACCCCGTTGTTCTGCAGAGACAGCAAATGTAGCTCTGGTCATCACAGGCAGATGCAGCATCATCACCAGGCTGGCACGGCAGACATCACAGGACAGCTTGGTCATGGCTCGCCACACAACAAATCCTGAAATTACAATTACTAATGTAACTGGACAGTGTGCTTGTCTTCATACTTTACATAAGCCTATAGAACAACACGGTGTCAGGTGAGAAATCAGACAAGAACTACAGTTTGTCTACCTAAAGTAATCATGATTAGTAAGTGTGGCATTAATTCCTTGTATTTATTTATCGGGGGATTTGATGAGCCAGCAGTTTTTCTAAAGACTACAAACATCTTTTGTGTTTTTCTTCTGACCGCTTTTTTAGGTTCTTTTTGAAACACGGGGAAGGTTTTTTACCTGCTGACAGTTTTGATTGTGTCTGCGATCTTCCTCAGAGCTGACCCCACTGAGCGTTTTTTTACACTATCTGAATGAATAATAGTTCAAAAGCAAAGCAGATGACAGAGACTTATCAGCCTAACACAGTTGAATGTTTGTTATTGTTAAATCGTATGAATGACACGTTGCCGTGACTGAAGACATCGTCTATTAGAGCATCCATAAGAAGCACAAAAGTCAGGCATGCTTGTTGTGTTTCACGCGTATTTCGTGTCCCATTGATCATTTTTCCTTGACCACAAAAACAAATCATGACATTCCAATTAGATGACGTCAGCACATATGTTGCACGTACGTTGATGAAGCCGTATGGAGTTGTGAGAGCAAGCATTGCTGGAATCCGAGTGTTTACTCGTATTTGTTCGTAGCGAAAGATTCATGGTAGTTTTGAGGGATTTTTTGGCTGCTGCAGGCCCCCGTACTTGTTACCTGGTCACACAGGTGGGTGGGCTCAGCCCATCTCGCCACACAAACAGGAAAAAAGACACCTGAAACTGTATGAAGCATGACGGCTAAATATGGGAATTCATCTTAATTATTACAGATGTGACCGGCTACTGCTAGCTTGCTTTTGTGTCATTAGACCAAGAGGGGAACTCCACCTGGCAAAAGTGAACCCTACTTGAAATGAACAAAAGTTGCATATGCCGGTTTCTGCTGCAGAGATTCCATATCGAAAGTGTAGACTGGACACAGGGCGGGGCTACACATAGAGATCTGGCTGCTGCCAGGTTAGCTGTCATTGGTTATTGGTCATAAGGTTTCTTAGAACTTTATTGAACTCCGAGCATAAAGAAATACCAACACCTCAGCACTTTGTTATTTTTGTGAAAGTTAAAGTAAAAATTTTTATTCTGGCTACTGATTTGTTTAGTCTTTCACGTGGGAATATCAAACTTTAAGGTTAATTAACTAAATTCAGTTCATTTACATAGCCCCACATCAGGACCAGAGTCGTCTCAAGGACCTGCACACAGTAAACATTCCAATACAGGTCAGGTCATTGAGCCAATCAGTAACACGTTTCCAATAAAAGGAACCCAGCAAATCGCATCGAGTCACTGACTAGTGTCAGTGACTATACAGCAATCCTCATACTAAGCAAGCATAAAGCGACAGTGGAGAGGAAAACTCCCTTTTAACAGGAAGAAACCTCCAGAGGATCCTGGCTCAGTATAAGCAGCCATCCTCCACGACTCACTGGGGATGGAGAAGACAGAGCAGACCAGGCTTATGATGGAAATGTGGAACTCGGAAAGTAAAAACTGAAAAGGTGGACTTTTGCATAAAATAAAATAGATTTCATTGCAGTATTTTTCACTCTGGAAGACAATCCGTGGTTACTAAGTTCAGGGTTAGCAGTTTACTGGAGCTGCAGTATAACATAGCCTGGCCTACCAGACTCCTCCTCTGTTTAATTCTACACAGAGAGAGAGTCTGGTAACGCTCCTATTCAAATAACCCCACCCTCTGAGAATTCTAGCCAAGCCGATCAGCGCCGAGCACACCGCGACGCTCAGTTGCTCATAACAAACAAACATGGCGGCTGAAGCGGGGTTCGATGCGGCTCTTTCCTCTGTTCTAAATGACTTGAAAATGTCTTTAAAACCAAAGCCTTTCTTCTATAGAAAGATGTTTTCACCGTCAGCAGGTGCAATTTTTGATTACAGCTAAAAAACTACAGCGTTGCACGGTACATTCGGCATTTGCGCCTTTCTTCTGATTGGTTATTTTTGAGCTGGCCAGTCCCGCCCCTCATGTGCCTCTGCCTGTGAGTTACCAGACTCTTTCTCTGAGTTAAACAGAGGACGAGTCTGGCAGGCCAGGCTAAGTATAATCTGCTTTCTGGTAACTATTTTACGGATGCTGATCCACAGGTATGTTTGATGCTTTTATTAGAGGTTTCTCTGCTGCTGTGGCCCCCAAACTCTGGACCTCTCTCCCCCTGAGCCTGAGATCAGTGGACCCCGTGGTCTCCTTTAACCCTCCCACTGACCTAATAGGTGTGGCCCCACGAGGAAAGTTGACCATTGAGCAGGATTGATGGTTTATCCCTTGGGTCCACGTGGCAGGGGTGAGGAGTGAGCACCACCTCACCCCTGCCACGTGGACCTCAAGGGATAAACCATCAATCCTGCTCAATGGTCAACTTTCTTTGCGGGGTCACCCACGAAGACAGTGGGAGGGTTAAAAAGCAGCTGGCTGTGGTGTGACCTTCCTCACTACCGTTCTTTGTGCTGCTATCTCTACCAATCCTGTACTACCTTTTTCATATTTTTTGTCCTAATTTTTCAGTACCGTATTTTCCGGACTATAAGTCACTCCGGAGTATAAGTCGCACCAGCCATAAAACGTATAATGAAGAAGAAAAAAACATAGAAGACGAACTGGACTATAAGTCGCATTTTGGAGAGAAATTTTATTATTTTTCTTACAAAATCTGAGACCAAGCGTTTCACATTACAAGACAAGTACGGGCAACAATAACAGAATAAACAACCAGTGCTGCATCAGCGGTACGCAGCAGCGCGCCACGGTCTCCAGCAGAGAATGGCGGTGTTTCAAACCCTCCCAGCGGGCGGGGAGAGCTCATTCCTGGTCCGGAGCGGGCCCACAGCAGCGCAGTAGATACATAATTTGGTATATAAGTCACTCCAGAGTATAAGTCACAGGACCAGCCAGACTATGAAAAAAAGTGCGACTTATAGTCTCGCAAATACGGTAATTTCTTTTTCAATTTCCCCTTTTATTTAAAAAATATTTTGTTATTGTGAAGTGACACGTGATTTTTCTTTCTTTAGAGGAGCTATTTAAAAGATCAGACCTGCTCAGCAACTCTGGGCCATTCCGAGTAGAGTTCAGGTAGTCTGTTGGTCCCAGAATACAGCTTGGAAAGTGGTCGTTTTGGCTGGCCTGCCAAAGTGGAGACATGCCTTATGTTAATGCAAATTGTTTTAAATGCTCAGATGTGAAACTTGCCCCTCGCCTCCTTTAAAGGACTTGCAGCATACGGTTTTTGATCTTCCAAAACAACTATAGGCACAATATATGATGAAATATTAACGTTGTCACTAATGAAATGTAATTTTTATGAAACTATATATATATATTCTTTCCGTGAGCCATTCCTTTAACCCAGACGTTGTCATGCATGTTCTGTTTGGAATCTGGTTTTGTCTGTTTTGGGAAAATACTAGCAGGCAAGCAGGGTGAAGTGTCTTGCCCAAGGACACAATGACTTATTTTGCTTCTTTTGAAGCGCTTCGTGATTTTTATCTTGAGAGGCGCTATAGAAATGATATTTTCTTCTTTTCTTCTTCTTCTTCTACAGACAGGTGTTAACCCCTTGGCCGCCAGAGTTTTTCCAAGAAAATTTTCAGTTTTGAAATTACTATTTCAAAAGGTTGTATTTAGAAAATGGTTAGAGATAAAGGTACCCCAGGGATGGGAGTAGATATTCTGCTGGGGTGGGGCTGGGTTGGTGCCCTCGGACTCCGTGAGGCTCTGTGATAGTGCTGCTTTGGGTCCTGGCAGGATGGGCTGGGGTCTCCATGCCCTGAGTGGCATTTTGGAAACAGAGGTGCCTATTGGGGCCAGTGGGGGAGCCGGCTCCCTGGAGGACTCACCCCCAAAATCCACAACCTCCGCTCCGCTCCGGTCCGCCCCCGCCTTCCACAGCCGCTCGCTTCCGAACTCAATTTTTCTTGGTACCCGCTATACAACGGCTCCGCTCCGGTGCGGAGACCTGAGGTGGGCAAACAAGCATGCGCAGGATTTTCGAGATCTTGCGATACAGTCCGAGCAATAAACGCGGAAGTTGGATCCAAACACCCGTTGTGTGGAAGAAGCGTCGGTATGAACTGTTTAATCTGCCCATCATTTGTGTTGAGAGATCAGCAGTGTTTGGATCAACA